GAATCACCATCCCCCACCCTTCCCTTCTCAGGCCAGGCAAGGAGTGACTGGGAGGGCAAGGGGCGGGCCAGCCAGTGGTGGGATCATCCAATAAGAAGCCACAGCAGGGGCACGAAAGAGCCAAGGGTTGCCGTCACCCGTTGCTTTGGCCCGCCTGCGCCAGTACCCTCCTTTGCCGCAACAGCACCATTACTTCGTTCCGGCCGGTGAGGGCTGCACTACTCCTTGCACGTTCACCAGCTGAAAAGCTGCAAAGTTGCAAGTTGCAGGTATCTCCCTCTATGGAGCAGATTTCCAGCCCCACCACGAGCTGCCTGGCTGGGCCCATATTCTAGAGCTCTAGTCACAGGACTGGCCCATTGATCATCCCGGAGCAGCTCCTCCACCTAGGTGTGCTGTGGACCACCAACATTTTCTCGTGGACCCACCAGCAGTCTGCAAACCACCGGTTAGTGACCTCTGCTCTAGGGCAGAGTGCTCATCACCATTTCTTGGCTAAGGGAGCCAGCATTGTCCAAAAACCCTTCTGTGGTCAGCATGGCTATATGCCAAAGGCATACAAAACACCGCTACCTTCCCAGCGAAGTGGTACCTATTAATGTACTTGCATTTGCATGCTTCATGGAACCTGGGTCTCGAACCCGGGCTGTCAGCTCTCCAGCTGACAAGCTCAGCGTCTTTAACCACTGAAATCTAAAGAACCCATTCTACAGTTGCTACTCTCTGGCCGATAAATACAGACTTTAACTTTGTCTTTATAGGAATTCCCTAACATTATTTGGCACTGCACAGGTTAAAGAAAAATGGTCTGAGAAAAATAAATAGCAGACAAGAAAAGCCCATAGTGTTTCTCTTGCTTTAAACTCATCAGCCCCACACTTCTTAAAACAGTAAACTTTGGATGGACCTAAAATTATTTATTTTGAAGGTGAGACATTTAATCACAACACTGAACTAGACACCTGGCAAATGTATAACAACTAGGAGGCCAAACTGTGAGATTTTGCAGAGATAAGGACCTGTGAACTGAAAAAAATCCAGGAACAAGTTAAATATTTAAAACTAAAAATCTCCATTGTTTAACTAAGGCATTGTGTCCATAAACAGAAAACATCTGTTTAATTTTAAGTCATTACATAGTGATAGGGATTCATTTGCTATTATGAATTATGAATTTAAGAATATCCTCCCCCACATTCAAGACATAACTTTTTTTAAAACACAGGCAAAAATTCTATGCAATGACCATTTTCTAACTTTTCAGTCTAAAATTGCCAATCCTAGCTAAACCCAGCCAAATTCACATGGAACAGCCTTGGAAATTTCTTTCTCCTAATAAAAATATACCTGTGTATCTATTGGAATTAAAACAACAGTTTTAACTGTCTGTAAAATATTGTACCCATTTTAAAGAAATTAATTAAATTCCCGTGCCTCACTCTGTACTACACGAGCCACTCTTGCAACAATTGAGAAGTATTTTTATATAGGCATTTCTTCTAGCAGATGTCAAAGTGAAGTCAAAGTCCTCACTTCTTAAAGTTGTTATGTTGACAAACACTGGTTTAAGAGACATTGGTGGCAGGGTAGAGAGGAATGGCTCAATGCCATTTTTTTAAAAAAAAATTGAACCTATCCCATACCCTCTTGTGTTGACTTGCAGGCACATCAGCAAGACAGCAAGAGTTGCACATTTAGTCAAATCAATATAGTTGTGTTATTGACAGTTGTGTTAGTCCAGGTTGGCATAAAATCGGAAGAAGGACTCTGTAGCAGCTTTTTTTAACCAACCCATTTTATTAAAAGGCTGAAGTTTTCTTGAGCCACAGCAAGAGAAGTTAAGCTCTGCCCTCTGCTGGTATGATGTTTCTATTACATACAGAACAAAATGTATATCTAAATAATATTATTAGTACTGTGTTTAAAATATATTGACCCAGACAATACACTGTTCACCAAGCATTTATGGATATTAAAGAAAAAACCATTAAAAAAAACTATTAAAAAATCTCAATAAAACATGAATCCCCTGATTCCTTCTTAATTTGTAAGAATATGTGTTATTTTTTTTTATTTCTGAACTACATCAAAAGGACAAAGAAGAAAAATAATTTTTCAGACCAAAACAAAAGAAACTTTATTTTTATGCATTCATTTGCTATTTGTTTTTTTAAAAACCATTTATGCCATCCACTCCTATTTCTGGCTGTTAGTTGCTTGCTAATTTTCATGCAACGAATATTTTAAACCTGTTTAAAATTAATTTATACCCAACCCACTTAAGCATCTTGAACTGGACCAAGAAAATAACTGGTAACCAGTACAGCTGATTCAGAACCACGGTATGTAATGTGACACTTCCTTCAAAGACAGTTACTCGGTTGGGACCATCTTCAAGGCCCACCCCTCCAACAGCACATTGCAGTAATCCACTTTGGTGGTGTGATCCAGTGGTGGGATTCTACCAGTTCTACCCGGTTCGGGCAAACCGGTAGCGGTGGCAGCAGGAGGCTCCACCCAGCCACCCAGACATCATTACAGACGCTCTCCGCATGTGCAGAGGTGATGCACACTCACAGTTCCAAACCAGTAGCGAAGGTAAGTGAATACCACTACTGGTGTGATCCCCCTATATTGAAAAGCCCATTTCCTGAGCATGCATGTAGAGATTATTGTCAAAGAGAAAAGCTTTAACAAAATAGGGGATCCATGGATTCCATCTGGAGTATCACGTATTGATATCCCAGCTGATATTGTAGAAGAGGACAATGCAAGAAAGAGAGAGTCGCCTTGACAAGAGTTCTTAGCTGTATAGAATGCCCCTGATTACATGAGAAGTTCTCCTATATAACCCATTCATTTTTAATTTATTAGATAATTTATGCCCTAGATAATAGCAGTTTTCTTCCGCTCACTAATTGTATTTCCTGGGCAGCTTATCAAGTTACCGTTGTCTCTACAGGCAGAAGACTCTGGAGAGAGAAGATAGAGTTAGCTCCTATTTCCTGCACACAGAGATATTGTGAAAAGGACCTGAAGAGCTGGTGTGAGAGAAAGAAGGAATGTCCTTGAAGAACAGAAGGAAAAACCACCATTAGGACAACCGTCAGATAAATTGGCCTGAGCTAAGGCCAAGACAGTAATGTGTGTAAATTTGACAAGCTCTTACTTACTTCATATGGAGATAAAGGAATGAAGAGGAAACATTCAATTTTGGAAAATTATGTTATAATAGCTCTACAGTAAAACTACTACTGTCCTACATGGTTTCCTAGCCTAATCTATCTTGAAAGGCTAACCATGTTTTGCAGTGTTTTGGTGAAATTGAAATGGGTTCTAATTTTTCTTTTTTCATTGAGGCTTCCCATTTTTTTTTCTTTCAAAACTTTGGAGAATTTTCTGGATTCAATATAATGCAGGAGGTGATACCCAGAAGAAAGGAACATCTGGAGTTAAAAATCCTCTCTCTTCATCAATAGAGTTTTGGAGCCAATTCTCTGAAAAGCAAAATAAAATGCCCTTTTCCTTTTTTTGGCAGACTTGCATATATTTCAGACTCAAGTAGGCGTGCACCATCCAGATCGTTTCTAAAATTGTAGAGTACTGGGGGTTTTGTTTTTTGTTTTTTGTTTTTGTTTTGTTTTTGTTTTTTGCTTCACAAACAATATTTAACAATAAGGTAAAAGGTAAAGGTTCCCCTCGCACATATGTGCTAGTTGTTCCCGACTCTAGGGGGCAGTGCTCATCTCCATTTCAAAGCCGAAGAGCCAGCGCTGTCCTAAGATGTCTCTGTGGTCATGTGGCCAGCATGACTAAATGCCAAAGGTGCACAGAACACTGTTACCTTCTCACCAAAGGTTGTCCCTAGTTTTCTACCTGTATTTTTTACTTGCTTTCAAACTGCTAGGTTGGCAAAAGCTGGGACAAGTAACAGGAGCTTACCCCATTATGCAGCACTAGGGATTCGAACCGCTGAACTGCCGATCTTTCGACTGACAAGCTCTGAACGAACGACAAGCCGAGACTCAGCATCTTAGCCACAGAGCCACTGTGTCCCTGGCAGGGAACTACTATATCAATGATAAACTCCATTCTTGAGATCATTGGAAGAGAACTGAAAACAGAACTATTCAGAAACTATTGTCCTTATGCAAATCTGTGGAGAGGCAACATTAGGGAATGTCTCCTTCTGTTCACTGCACATGAAGAGACAAATCATCGATCTGGAAAATGTGCAAAAAGGGAACAACAAAAAGAATATAGGGTTTTTCTATGAATACATTTACAATGAAGAGGGGAAAGGGACACACAATAGAGCAGGATAAAACTAGACATGGCATAGATATAGTGACATACATAATAGTATTTTGCTTCCCACGTTGAAACTCAAAGATCTCTGGAAGCCAAATGTAAGGAAACTCCCGTCCAACTGGAGTATCGTTGGAGCTGCAGTGGCGCAGTAGTTAATTGCAGTACTGGAGGCTACTTCTGCTGACTGCCGGCTGACTGCAATTTGGTAGATCGAATCTCACCAGGCTCAAGATTGACTCAGCCTTTCATCCTTCCAAGGTGGGTAAAATGAGGATCCAGATTGTTGGGGGCAATATGCTGACTCTATAAACCACTTAGAGAGGGCTGTAAAAGCACTGTGAAGTAGTATATAAGTCTAAGTGCTATTGCTATTGTATTCCCAATATGCATTTGGTCCCCATTCTGGTTGGGGACTTCTAGGAGTGGAAGTCCATCTTACAGTTGCCACATCTGAAAAACAATTGCTTAAATACCAGTTGCTGAGAAGCAGCAATAGGTGGACATTATTGTTCTCCAAAACAGGCTTGGGAGCTTCCCAAATGCATCCAGATTGTTTTCTCGAAAAGCTGGACTGGATCTCTGGCTTGATCCAGCGGGTTTCTTCTGATACATTCTACGACGCTTCATTTAGCAATCTTAGCTGTGTCACCTCGGATATTCCTTCTGGTTCTTCCTGATGGCTCTTTCTGGATAATTACTCTTGAGTAAGAGTAATTATTTTTGAATTGCAGCATTGCCTACATTGAAACATATTGCTGGACAGTTTTTCTTATTGGTAATTTTGAGGTGGTCCTGGCATCCTTGGCTGAAAAGTACCACCAGGTGGAATTCCAGAATGTCCATTCATGCCTTTGCCTCGAGGTTCTGGTGCTCGTGTCACTGCTATGTGGAGAGGAGGTGTGGGGCCACCCTCTCTTCCTTTGCAGGGAGGAGAAAGGTTTCCATTGGCCACACCAGATCTTTCTTGCTGCTCTTGAGGTGGCTTCTTCTTAGACTCCTTCTCTCCTTTGTTTTTATCTGAAATGGTTTTGGGAAGAGAATTGCTGCTTTTTAAAACCCAGTATACAAATGTGAATTCCTACCCGAAGCCCTTCCTAAATTCTCTTGTGGTTCCTTGTGGCATAAATTCATGAGAATCCACCATCAGCCTAAACCACAAGTGCAGAATCTGTTTTGCCCTTTTAGTGTCATGTCTGTGATAAATAATAGACACTGTAAGATCAGAATGAAAAGTAAACATAATTAAAATGAAATTAATTAAATATATTAAACACAATTGCCCATCTCATGTGTACTATATAATAAATTTGTGCACTGTATAAAAATATATGTGCTACCTGTAGTCGGAGAGATGGGAGGCATTTAAATAAAGAATGGAATGGAATGGAATGGAATGGAATGGAATGGAATGGAATGGAATAGAATAGAATAGAATAGAATAGAATGGAATGGAATGGAATGGAATGGAATGGAATAGAATAGAATAGAATAGAATAGAATAGAATAGAATAGAATAGTGTTTTAAAGATGGAGAATTGAAATGTAAAGTTGAATAAAACTGAAATGTTAGTAAATGATGTAAGTAAGAATGAAATGAAATATAAGTAAGAAGTAAAATAGAAGAAATATATAGTTAAAAGTAAAATAGATTAAGGATTGGAAGGCTAACTTAACAAAGGTTTTAAGGTAAAAATGGAATAAGCTGAAATACATTGTTAATAATGAAAAAGATGAGGGGAATTTTGAGAAATATATTTAATAAATGAGGAAAAGTCGGGGTTGCCTGGACACCATAGTGGAAAATAGTAAATTGAAAATGAATACAGCAATAGAGAGAGACGAAAGAAGGAGAGAGAGGAATGGAAGAAACGGAAGAGGGCAGGGAGGGAGGGGAAATAAGAATAGGAGAGAAGATTAGATAGGGAGAAAGAGAGAAGGAGGGGGGAAAGGAAGGGGAAGGAGAGAAGGAGAAGGAGAGGAGGAAAGAAGATAAGTAGGAAGGATAAAAAAAGGGAGGGAGACGGAAGAGAATGAGAAGAAAGATTGCTGTACAATAAAAAAGATGAAATGGAAGAAAGGCAACCCCGAACATGTGTAAATGTATTAGGATGAAGAATGAATTATTAAAAAATAAAAGAGAATAAATATGAGTAAAAATAGAGAATTTAGAACTTGAGGGCGAATGAAGATGTTGTTTATATAAGTAACCATAGAAATATTAAGATATGTTCAAAAAACATGGAAAAAGAAGATTTTGGCAGAAATTGTAACTAAGTAAAATGTATTTGGATATGATAAGTTGTATAAGATATGATATGGCCAATACTCTCTTCATAAAATATGTGGGGGAATGTGGGGGAGAAAAAAATCAATAAAACTTGATTCAAAAAAATAAAATAGAATAGATCAATTGGTTGTGAGATTTGGCAGGGCTCCAGAAGCCAAGATTTGGGGAGAGGTAGAGTTTGGGTATCCATGCTCTAAATGAATCAGGAAAAAAAATGCAATCAAGAAAATAATTAACTCTCCTATTTACTTTTGTATTTTGTATCTTATTTTGTCTTATAACTCAATAAAAATGTTAAACCAAGAAGAAAATAATTAACTCTTCCCCCAAATCTGAGGCAGATTAAAAGAAATTGGACCTCAATATCCAAATGTCAAGGACAAAGTAGGAACCCATGATGCATCGATCACATGCAGCCACCAATAGCATTCATTTACATACAAGATAACAAAGGATTACTGTGTTTGAACAGTTCAAAAGATCTACTGTGGTTCCAAATTCCACAGATGCAAAGAAGGCAGGCATTCAACAGGATCTTTCCTCATCAGGTGTTGAACTGTAGATGCAGAAAGGTCAGGGCTGGCCCTGCAACTAGATAAAGTGATCCCATCACTTTATGAGAGATGAGATCACTTTATGATGAGAAGAGGATAGGCAGCAGTAAAATGTAGGAGTGGAAGTTACATGCTACACGGGTTGCTCTGGATTTCCTAAGCCAGTCTGAGGTATAGTAGAGGATGTGGTCATATTTTCAATGTCCAAAGATTCAGCTGCCAATTCACTCAGCTTTTCTCTAAGGAATTGAAAGGTGGCACCATCTTGACAAAGTTTTTGTCTAGAACAGGGGTGTCAAACTCAAGGCCTGCGGGCCGGAACCAGCCTGCGGGTTGCTTAGATCTGGCCCGCGGAGCTGCCGTACAAACAGCAAAGGACCGGCCCACAGTGTCTCTGCCAGCGGCCCTCTCAAGCTCCATTTTCACTGGCAGAGGGCTAGCAAAACAAACTAAAAGCAAAACGAAAGAAAAGGAGAAATGTTTCCCCTTTTGCATTTGAGCATGCAAGAAGGGACAGGAAAGGAGAAAGGGAAAGAGGAAAGACAAAGAAAAATAAAGAAAGGGGAAGAGAGAAGGAAGGAAAAATAAAGAGGGGAAGGAAGAAGAAGAAAGGAGAATGAAGAGGAAAGGAAAAAGAGAAGGAAAGAAGGAAGTAAGGAAGGAGGAAGGAAGGAAGGAAGGAAGGAGGGAGGGAGGGAGGGAAGGAGATTATAATGAGAGGGAGGGAGGGTCTGAGGGAAGTCCTGCCTTAGCACTTGGCCACCACAGGTGCCCCAGACACAAGTGATGTCGAGCTGGCATGCCCACCCTGGCCATGCCCACCCCAGCCCCCACAAGGTCAAACACAACTCTGATGCAGCCCTCAATGAAAGAGTTTGACCCTTCTGGTCTAGAATGATGATGCTACCCTTACATGCTTCTGGATGATGCTTCTGGAGTTTCTGCTTTAGGACGAGATGGACCAATGGGAAATAACGTTAAGGAAGGAATCATTCTACAGAAAAGTACTCAGAATAAGGGCAGGGGCTCTGGAATAAAACAGATTTCAAAGTGTTCCTCACCTTGGGCTCCCTTGGGATTGTTCTGAGTCTCAACAGAGACTTCTTCGTTGTCCTGTGGTTGCTGAGCTTTTTGCTTGTTCCTCCTTTTGTTTTCTTCAGCTAGCTGAGAGAGAAGAATAAAAAGAAAAATCTCATAGTTAAATCATAGATAGAATCGCTGTCTAACGAGCAAAAAGAAAACCAGCCTTATGTTTTCAGCATTCTTACATTTTGCAATTTCTTCTTGAGCTCCAAATTCATAGCCTGATATCCTTTGGATGTAGCATTGAGATAGTAGATGCTCAGCCTAAAGTGGGGAAAGCATATATTTTATGGCAGTCAATGACGATGACAATGAACACTGATATAACAACCATCTTCAAAGTTGAAAATATAAAGTTTAATGGCTTATAAAAGGAAGGGAGAGAAAAGCAGGCTGTGTGGAATGGAATGGATTTACAAACTTCAGATTGTTCCCACCGAGATTACAATCCTTTCTGTTTCTCTCTATCTCTAAAATGATCCACTTTACAGGGCTATTGTGCAGATTGTTGTAACATGCTCAGGAGCTACGCGCAGGCATGAGAGAATCATGCTGTACCGCGTATGCGAAAAACTAGATAAAGGTTGCAACAACTCATAGATAACTGTAACAATTCACTAGCAGCTAGAATTGTAGATCTTCCCAAATTTGGGCATTGCTTCCATGTATTACTTGTACTTACGTATGCATTACATGAGACATGCTGTAATTTATTATTGGCTTATGCTAACAAACCCCTCCTGCCTTTGTTTGTGTACAATAAAAGAGGCTCCCGGAGTCAGATCTGGGTCGTCTCATCCCGAGAAAACTCGTGTCCGAGTCTTTCCTCAATATTGACCTCATGGGCGGCCCGCGGAAAACTCACATCTGGTGACCCCGACGTGATATCCGTGTCGCCCACCCATCTCATCTCACCCCCGGCTGGGAATAGCCTCGCATCCAGGGACGGCCGTCGGTGAACGGAGCACCCTCCCACATCGTGAGTATGGGATCGGGCTTCTCGAAGGAACAGGCAGTTCATCTCAATGAACTTCGAGATATCTGCAAATTATCTAGTGTAATTCCAGGCGGCGGGTAAGCTGCTTCCCATTCCCCGAAAAAACAACTAATCAGTGTACTAAAATACATTTGGCAACATTATCCGGCTTATCCGGAAAAGGGCTCTTTAAAAGTGAAAGTGTGGAAGCAGATATGAACATGCTTCCACGAACCTCCCCGAGCCCTGGAAAAATTCTGGCACTCTGGAGATTGGCTATAGAGTGTTTAATGATGCATGAAAAAAAAAAGGCCTTCAGGACACTGATAATGGTTCCTTTTTAGATTAATGTCATCAAGGAATAGAAAATATAGCTCTGATGCCTTGGAAGAGCAACAATTAATTACAAGTCCTCCACCTGATTAAAATTGTTAAAAATGTTAAAATTGTCACCTCAAAACCATCTTTAATTGAATCATAAGTTCCTTCTGAAGGAGCTGGTAACACCCCCACTAAGCAGAACTCAAAGAAACAGTTAGACAAAAAAAAGGGGGGGGTGGAATATAGAAGAAATTCCTACCGGCTGCAACTTTGCAAATTTCTTCTGAATGTGCTTATCAAACCTTCAGAAAAATGCCTGTTTTTGGCAAGCGTCAACAAGCCTTCTCTAACATAAGGAAAAAAGCTACAAAGAACGCCACTTCTGAATGCCAAGGAGCAATTGTTGGGCTGGGAAAAGATCTTGATTTGGCAGATATGGTTCAAGTGTGTCAGGATATAGAAACATTGTATAAAACCAATTTGTTAGCACTGCTTTATCACCAGGCAGCAAACCTCAAGAAAACAACCTAATTGGCTTTTTGAAATACAAAATGATTTATGTGTAAATTGCACATTGCCCCAGAAAAAATACAGCTGTACACTCCTTATCTGTATGTGCAATTTCTTTCTGTTCTGGCTTTCCCTTGTTTAAAGTTACCAAAAGTTATTTCCTTAGTAAATTTGCAACAATTACTGGGTACTATTAATTGGGTCCGCTCTTATTTCTCTTTACCTATGCATTTACTTAGCCCATTATTTGAGTTATTGACTAAAGGAAAAAAGCCAGGAGATTTAATTATAGTTCCATCTCTAGTTGTTTGCTACAGTTGAGAAAATAAATAACATCTTGAGTATTCAGTTTGTAGATTGGATCCCTCATAGAAATTGTCAGTTTGTTAATATTTCCTACTAGTAAGCTACCCACAGGAGTATTGGCTGCTTTAGAACAGCAAAAAGTATATTGTCTTGAATGGCTTTATTTGTCTCATTACCATCTAAAAATGTTTTACCCTTTATCCGAGCTATTGCTGAAATTATAACCTTGGGGCGTACTCCAGACTGTCGAAGAAATGGAACTGATTTAATAAATATTGTTCTTTCTATCTCAAAATCTGACTTTCACTTATGCAGCTATCTCAGCTCTCCACACTTTTTCTTAACAACCTTTTAATCTGATCTATGACTCTCAGTATTTGAACTAATCAACTTGAAGTGATTTCTGTTAAAATATTTTGTTGATGTGCATCTATAATGATAGTGTGTGGAATAGTATGTGGTTGAAATAATTTTAATTATGATATGCTTGGCTGGCCAGCAAAAATTGACTGGGCTTGAACTTGAAACTGTGGAAAACCGGACAGTGGTTATGGGCCCATGTCACCTTTTGTGATTATGACTCCTGCCTATGTTTTTCACTGTTTTGGGAATAAGCTAGTTCATTGAAATAATTTGAATGACTGATTTGCATGGAGGACATATTATACAAAAGGTCTGATTGCAGTACAGATGTGAATGGGTGTGTATGTAGATATTTATTGGATTGCATGAAATGTAATTTTGTGTATAAGCATTTTTTTTTCCTTTCTCTTCCTGTCCTCCCAGGAGGAGGGAGGCTTGTCCATTTTAAAAAGTTTTTTCCTTTCTCTCACCCCCTCCTTTTTTCCCTGGGAGGTGAGAGGCACAAAAAGGGGGGCTACGGTTTTTGTTCTCTTCACCATTTTTTTTTCTCTCAGAGAACCAGCCTGAGAAAGGCGGGGTAAAGGGTGATATCTGATACCTATGCTTTTGCAGTTTCAGAGTATTGACTCAAAATACCTCATTTAGATTGTTTGTTTTATTTTTGAAGCTGTTTTTCTTACTCCTTTATGTTTTTATGTCTGCGTGCATTCTGCATACTTAACAGATGGCACGTTTGTTCATTTGTATGTTTGTTTGTTGTTTGTTTGTTTGTCTGTCAGCAGCATAAGTTGCTGCCATTTTAGGAATTGTCACAGAGATAAGTTAGAGATTACAATATGTAGACAGAGAGATAAAATACTTAGGACATTTAATTAATGAAAGAAGATAACACCTGAAGAGTTGAGGAAATGTTTAGGATTGACTGGATATTGTGGGCTGTGAATAGATAATTGTGCTATTTTGTATGAAGACGGGCATGCAAAGAACCCAGTGTTACAGGGAATGGCTTTGAGGGTTTTAACCCAGAAGTGGGGAGGGAAGAGAGAGTTAGTGAAGGAAAACAGAAAGTTGACTTTTGGAAGTATCAGATATTGGTGCTGAGAAGGGGTTGAATTGTTTATAGATGGGAAGAGAAAGTTGGTTTGCACAGATTTGGGCTGGCTTGGAAGTCAGAATGGCAGTGGAGAAAGGACTTGAATGTATAGTGTTATAAGGAGATTTGTTTATTGGAAGGTTATAGATATTGTGGTGGCAGAGACAGAGATTTCCATCAAAATAAAAAAGCATTAGCGAAGTAATTTGGTCTCAAGGCAGCCGAAGCGACTGCCATCATACAACAATGTCGTACCTGTAGTCAACAAGCTCATTCTATCCCTATGGGTGTAAACCCTAGAGGACTCAAGGCCTATGAGATTTGGCAAATGGACGTCACAAGGTACGACTCCTTTAAACCATGGAACTACCTGCATGTGACCATTGATACCTATTCTGGATTTACTATGGCATTCCCAAAAAGGGGAGAAGCAACCAAACATGTAATAAATCATTGTATTCGGACTTCTGCATCGATGGGACGCCCAATTGAACTTCAAACTGACAATGGACCTGCGTACACCAGTACTGCCTTTGCAGACTTTTGTAACAAGTGGTCCATCACACATAAATTTGGCTTATAAATTGAAAGAGGAAAAATGCCTCGGCCTCCCAGCCATGCAAAACAAACTCAATCTTTGCTTATATACTTTGAACTTTCTTAACCTGACTGGACAGCCTCCCACATCGGCTGCGACCCGTCATTTTTCTGCTTCTCCATCAGCTACCCTAAAACCGAAGGTCTATTTCTGCCAACCACCTGATCCTGCCTGGAAAGGGCCCGCTGACCTTATTACCTGGGCCGTGGATACGCTGCTGTCCAGTACAAAGATCGCATCATTTGGATCCCCAGAAGACACGTAAAACTATTTCATTTACAACAAAAAGAAGGAGAAACCTCTCGTGCTGAGATTTAAGAAGAAAACACCTTGCTGAGTCCTACCGGCAACAGACTCTCAACGCACAGCGGAAGATTCATCAGGAGGAAACTACCTTCACATTGTACATATACATTTTATTAGCTTTGATATAACACTTTCTTACAGCAGCCTCTACATTCAATCATGATGGGACAGTAATAAAAGACATTCAAATAGCTGCTAATCAGACAAACTCCACTACTCCTATTTCCCAAACCACACCCACCACTGACACCAGGTGGCTCATTAAAAACTCAGATATCCAGAGGCATCTTGCCCAATCTCGGGTGGCAATGAACTATAACATCACTCACACCATAGAACATATGGAAAACTTGATCAAAAACAATCCCTTATCATCCAATTGATCTGGCGCCATTGACATCTGGGCTGCTCTTTGGTCATGGCTCCCGGCTGGTTCTTGGTTGAAATCAATTATGCCAACTATTGTATCTATAATTGTACTGCTTGTTTTGCTTTGTTGCTGTATCCAATGTCTCCCCTCCCTTCTGCAAATGTGCAAAGGTTTTATTCCCTCCAATAGGAAGGACGTCCTGAAAAGTGAAACCAAAGCCCTTCTGGAACTGGAGGAACAAATAAGGTGTGGTCAGAGAAGGTGCTCGGGACTTACAGGATAGGGCTTCCAGAATAACTCAGAGGTTACAAACTCCTGACATGTGGTTTTCTTGGGTGCCTGGATCCGGATGGATTTACAATTTGTGCGAGCAATTTGTGGAAATGTATAACTGGAATACAACTCAGAAACTTGATGGCCTACCTCGCTTGACATCTCCCGGCCACTTTTCCACTAAATTTGTTCACTGTAATAAAAGGATGGGTGAGCTACAAACATTTGCAGAAACCAGATGGCTGAAGAACATATTGTCTACTGTACTCATGATCATTGCTTTGCTTATTTCTGTATGTTGTAGTATCCAATGTATTCCTGCTTTGTTTGCTATGATGATAGGCATGTTTCCCAGGCATAAAGAGAACATCATAATAACAACACAGCTGAACCCTGTTGCATAAAATTAAAACAAAAAGTAGGAGATGTTGTAACATGCTCAGGAGCTACGCGCAGGCATGAGAGAATCATGCTGTACCGCGTATGCGAAAAACTAGATAAAGGTTGCAACAACTCATAGATAACTGTAACAATTCACTAGCAGCTAGAATTGTAGATCTTCCCAATTTGGGCATTGCTTCCATGTATTACTTGTACTTACGTATGCATTACATGAGACATGCTGTAATTTATTATTGGCTTATGCTAACAAACCCCTCCTGCCTTTGTTTGTGTACAATAAAAGAGGCTCCCGGAGTCAGATCTGGGTCGTCTCATCCCGAGAAAACTCGTGTCCGAGTCTTTCCTCAATATTGACCTCATGGGCGGCCCGCGGAAAACTCACCAGATAAATAGGAAAGGAAAGCTCACTGAGCTTCTTGTGGGGAAAGGGGGGACATTCTGACAGGAGAAAAAGAAAGTAGTTGTACATACACCATCAGAAGAATGAAAGGTAGGATCACACCAGGGTTGGAGACCAGACTGAAAACCTTCTGAAACCAGGAAGGGAAATCATGCTCCAGAGTTTCTCCGATGACTTCAAACATTCTGGTTTTACCACTATTAACAGAAATAATACAGAGAGATGTAAAGAAAAACCAGATGAAAACTATTTGACTTCAAATTATTAATCTATATATATATATGACTCTGTATGTGTGTGTGTGAGAGAGAGAAAAAGAGAGAGAGAGAGAGAGAGTGTGTTTGTGTTCCAACATAACTCTGGAACACCTCGAGTAATTTCAACCAAACTTAGTACACAGATTACTTACTCTCTGGAAAAAAAATACTGTGGGGGTAAGACATCCCTAACACCCCTTGGGGTGTGTGTGCCTGTGCCTGTGGGTGTGTGACGCCCGGGTCACTGAAATGAAAAGGAAAGGAATGTAGTATATCTATAGCCCCAGTACTTTTAACAGTGATAGTGTGCATTTTGGATTCAAGTGCTATTAAGATACAGCCTGTTGTGCCTTAAAATGGCTTCTACTGTACAGCACAGTGGAGTTGCCATGGTAACAGCTTTACAGTACTCCACAAGGGGGCTCCCTCTGGTAATACACAGCCTCCCTGTCTAATACAGGGTTGGGATAAATAAATACCTGGGCAACATTGGGTTATCAGCTAGTACCAAATAAAAAGAAATGGCATTTATAATAATATCAGTAATATTATTACATCAGTCTGGATGGTTGTTGGATGCCAGAGTGTGTTAAGGAAGAATCCTGTCATGGAGACTTTCTTCTTATATAGAAATTTGTTGAAAAGGATCATCGTTTTAGCACAAATTTGGCATAAAACAGCATTTTAGCAGTTACTAGTTTGTATGAATCTTAGATTCCAAATTTCAAAGGAATTTGGGGAAACTGTAGTTTTTGTTTGAAAGACTTCCAGTTATGGAAACCCTATAATTTTAGGAAGCAAAGTATTCCATTATTTAATAGTTCTTATGGTCAAAATAATTGCTTCTTATAATATAGATGAAAAGTGCGACAGCACAGTGGTTAGAATGCAAAATTGCAGGCAAATTCTGCCCACAGTCGGAGTTTGATCCTGACAGGGCTCATAGTTGACTCTGTCTCCCAGCCTTCCAAGGTCACTAAAACGAGGACCCACACTATTGGGGGCAATATGCTGACACCAGGGGTGGGTTCTACTTACCTTTACTACCGGTTCGCAACGGGGCCGTGCGCACTCTTCTGCGCATGCGCTGAAGCATTTTTATGATGTCAGGGTCAGTGGGCGGAGCCTCCCACCAGTTTTACTACCGGTTCTATAGAACTGGTGACAATCCACCACTGGCTGATACTGTAAACCACTCAGAGAGTATTGTAAAGCACTATGAAGCAGTATACAAGTCTAAGTGCTACTGCTATTATTTTCAGTTTGGATTTCTCTCTGTAAAGCTCCCATCTGTTGATCACTGTCTCCTAGAGCTAGGAAACAGGCAGTGGCAAATCACTTCTAAAATCTTGCCAAAGAAGGCCCTTTAAGGGTTTATCCAGACAGTTGTCAGGAATCAATACTGACTCAAAGATGTGTGCCCATAAACACACTTTCACACACATGGCTATGAAAAGTGCATGGAACATTTCTGCAGATCACCAGTGATAACAGAGCTCAGAAGAATATTACAAATTCTTACAGCTAGGACCACCTAACCTTCAAATGTTGTCAAAATCCTTAAATAGAGCGAATCTGCCCTTTTGAAGAGGTTCATATTTCTAAAGGCAGGGACCTCTAACTCTCTGACACTGAGCAATGATATCAACAAGATTTCTTTTCTCCTATCAATTCTAAGATAGATACTATAATCTGTTTTCTCAAGCTAAATCTTTTCTATGTCTTCTAAAACTGAGGGGAAAGCTTATGAGTCTGTTTTGTGCAATCACATATCACACTGAAAATTGTACATAAGAAAAAGCCACAATGACCTCTGGGTCAGCTTGACAAATCTTTCCCCTCCTGTAATGATTTTTTTCTATAACTTGTTAAAACTAATTGTACAAAGTATTATTAATAATTTTTTTAAAAGGTTATATTAGCAAGTTAACAAATACTGCAGTCTGAATACAACTGGTATGTAACTGAGACTCTTTTAAATGTGTTTGGAAATCCTTCAATTGCCCTTGTGATCAACAGCCAGTAACCCTCTGCTTTTTTTAGACTAGTTGTAATTTTAAGAATATTATATGCACTCATAAAAACTATGAAATATGGACATAGATACTCACAAACACCCTGAAGGCAAATTTAGCAAAAATCTCATAACTATAATATGCTCTCTACTACATCTGATTTTTGTTTGTTGGCTTGTAGGTGTCCTTTCCAACAAATAAATGGGTTTTATATTGTAAGCATGTTGATAGCCCCTTGAGACTGGTAACCATCAAGAGAAGTTTTGCTGAGCATGTAGGCCCCCATAAATTTCCTGTTGAAAATCAAAGGTAACATGGTAACTTAGACATGTATGTTACAAAGTTCAATGCACTTTACTCCTGGATTCTAATAATGTCACAAGAACTATTCATCTTGAAGGAATCTACCCAATATTATTAGTATTCTATTCATTGGTGCCATATCAGTTAATGAAGAAAAGGATACTCAAAGCAATAGACCTGAATGGACCACAGTCAAATGATGGTGGGATGGATACGATGGTATAGACAACGGGCAGGGTCGACAGGAATAGAATGAACAACAGCATTGCCATGTAGAAGTTGTTGGATCTTGAAGCTTTGAAGACCCTTTCATGGGGAACATTGCAGCACATCACAGCCCAACACTGAAGGTACATCGATGTATGGAGGCGGAGAACATTGATAGCAGGAAGACATGGTGCATAAAAAGAACCCATCCTAGAAACACAAATAAGGGCAACCAAAAGATTACATGCTGGTCACAAGTGAGCTTTTATGACCCTTGAGCCCTTTCTCTGCTTACTGGCTTGGTTACAAAACTTACAAGTGTGATTCTTTTTTTCTGGATCACATGTACTTGATCCACCAAAGCAGGGAGGCAGAGAATGCTACACATTCCCTCTCCTAAGAAAGTACACCTAAGAGGACCAAGAAGAAGGGCCTTCTCTGTGGTGGCTCTCTCCCTATGGAACATCATCTCTGCAGAGAAAAGATTGATATCCCCCCTCCCCCAATTCGGACACTCTATTGCAAGGCCCTGAAGATCTGGTTTTGCCAACAACCCAGAGTGAGGTGGATCAAGTGGCTTATTTGATTGAGTAATTGTTGTTGGGGGAAGGGATTATTGCTTTTTATTGTTTTTTAATATTGGGCATTTTAAAAATATTTATAAGCTGCTCAGAATCACTGAAAATGAGTTGGGGATCCATAGAAATTTTCTTAATAAAAAAAAATCTTTAATATAGTCTACTAATCTACATTATTCTATTTGCCCTGGGATTCTTTGCGCAGATGCTGTTTCCAGTGTTGTGATATAAGGTGGTTGATTAATACACTCTATACACTTATTATCTCACATGTAAGATCATATTTTTATTCTAAGTTCAGTTGACTAATATGGAACAAGATGACATCCTTTTATTATTTTCTAAGATATTTTAGATTTTGTGATTGAAATAAATGAAAGGAAGGTTCAAGCAAATAATTAAAAAACTGTGTTGACAAAACTAGCCATACCAGCTTTTTGTTAAACAAAGACATTTTTAAACTGCTTTCACAGATTTCCTGCACATGGAGATTTCCAGGTATCAATAGGGTGGACAAATTAATAGAAGTTGTTCAGTGGTGGAATTCAATTTTTTTTACTACCGGTTCTGTGGGCGTAGCTTGGTGGGCATGGCAGGGGAAGGATACTGCAAAAATCCCCATTCCCTCCCCACTCCTGGGGGAAGGATATTGCAAAATCTCCATTCCCACCCCACTCTGGGGCCGGCCACTGGTGGTATTTGCTGGTTCTCCGAATTACTCAAAATTTCCGCTACCAGTTCTCCAGAACCTGTCAGAACCTGCTGAATAGCACCCCTGAAGTTGTTCATTTTTAGAAGGGGTAAAGCAAAGACCTGAAGCTTCATTTCAAAATATCTTGGAATTGTTTCTCTTGACAACCCACTAAGTCAAAAGAAAGAGAATAGGGGAGGAAAATAAAAGAAAGGAAGATGAAAGGAAGGTGAAGAAGAGGGGAGAGAGGTAAATTTAAAAAAAAACTGAGCAAAGAAAATAAGAAAAAGAGTTCATGTGCCACAGTCACTTTCAGCTCTGACTGGTTTTCTGCATAGGAGAAGAAAATAAAAACAAAAACTTAGGGTTTCAATCCAATGACTGTGACTGCCATCTGGACCACCAGTAGTAGCCTTTGAGAATAGCCCCTCCTCTCTCATTAAGTACCATTATGTACCACCTGGCTGAAATTAGGAATAAATATGGTCTCTGATGAAAATATAAAGGTGTAACAAGAGCAATACATTCCACTTTGATTTATGGCAGCTGATAACAGAGAACCAGCAATGTTCCTTGAGAAGGCATATATTTCAGTCAATCACTATAGGTAGCACATTGATATTTGTAACATGGTTTGATTAAACTAGCAATAGCACTTAGACTTTTATACTGCTTCATAGTGCTTTACAGCCCTCTCTAAGTGGTTTACAGAGTCAGCATATTGCCCCCAACAATCTGGGTCCTCATTTTACCCACCTCGGAGGATGGAAGGCTGAGTCAACCTTGAGCCGGTGAGATTTGAACTGCCGAGCTACAGCTAGCACTCAGCTGAAGTAGCCTGCAGTACTGCACTCTAACCACTGTGCCACCTAAGCTAAGGGGTGTTTGCTCCTTTTCTTTCCTGTGTGGTAATAAAATTGCGCAAAGCAGACTGAGATCTGACAGAGCTGAAATATCATTCCTCCGCAAAAGAGGTGAGGGTGAGGAAGGACACTATATACTAGATTTTGACATAATTTTTGAGGGGGTCCTTGGTGCTCTTTGAACTTGGTTCTATCTGACCTTGGCCCTGATGATGTTAGTTTGGTAATGAAACATCTGCAAGAAAACAACCAAGCTCAGAGATCACCAAGCACCCCTCATTTCAACCCTGAGCTACAAATATTCTCCTGTATGACTAATTTTTTGCTAGACATTTAGTGAAATTCAAGAAAATAATCACCTTTCAATGTTTAATGCCTAATTTTGGAAAACAGATATAAATTTTCTCATCATGAATAAGTAGCCTCACAAGACACAATAAGCTTGATGTCAGAATATTGAGGTCCTTTATAATGATGATGATGTTTGTCCATTGTGTTCAAAGAGGACCTTGACATCTAACAGGTTGTGGGCTGTCCACGATGTGTCCACAGGTGGCTGGTAAGGCCTATATGGGCACGAAACGTTCTGCCACATGTTGGGCAGACATGTGTGGGCACCATTGTTGCAGTATTTGTAGCAGTGGTGGGTTGCCCCTGGTTCGGACCGGTTCACAAGAACCGGTAGTAAAACCAATGCGAGGCTCCGCCCACTGCCCACTGCCCTGGATGTTGTCATCGGCGATCTACGCATGCAATCCCGTTGCGAACCAGTAGTAAAGGTAAGTAGAACCCACCCCTGATTTGCAACTCTGGCTTTGTGGAGTGCTCGCTTCTCTTGCGCTATGGTTGTTCTTCTGTCCTCAGATCTCTGGCAACCTTGGTGGATCAGCATGTGCTACAGCTACTAGGAGCCACAGCTGAGGGCTGAGTGACAGGTGGGGACTAAAGGTGGATGAACTGCCCTAAAAGCTGCCCTAAAATGAGCTGCCCTAAAAGGACACAACATGCCCTACATCAGAGGTGCTACCCCTCCCTGATATAGGGGATATACACCCCTATATCAATATGTTGAGTGCCAAAAGGGGAGACAATAATATACCTCACTATTTTTTTCTAAACGCATTACCTGAACAGCATAGGTAAAGTATCTCAATAGATTCACAACAGCATCGATGTTCATTACAATATAAGAAGGTCTGTGCTGAATTGGTCTAGAAGTGATTGATGGGATTGCTAATTCTGGATGACCTATTACAATATTAGCATATAATTGTTCAGTTGCTCAGGGAATTTAGTAGTTCACCATCCAGCTTCTATGGGGGATATGAACGTTCTGAGTTTAAGTGAGGTTAAAGCAAGCAAAGGCATCCTTAGTCCTAAGGCACGTACTGCCCTTCGTTTAACTTCATAGAGGATGGTTTTGGAAGATGTTTGGATGTGAGCAATTCAGGCCTCTAATAAGACTGGCTGCATGAGGAGAAAGGAATGAGGATGTCAGCATGTGAGAAAAAGGGGTGGCCAGAAAAATGGAAGGATCAGGAAAAAAGGTAATTGTATTTATAGGTAGTCCTTGACTTAGAACTATTCATTTAGTAACTATTCAAAGTTACAACTGCATTGTAAAAAGTGACTTAACTGTATGTCAGTTTTTCAAACATATGACCATTACAGCATCTCCGTGGTCATGTGATCAATAGGCAGACACTTGTTTTTATGATGGTTGCAGTATCCTGGGGTCATGTGATCACCTTTTGCGACCTTTTGACAAGCAAAGTCAATGCAGAAGCCAGTTCACTTAACAACCATGTTATTAACAGCTGCAGTGATTCACTTAACAACTGAAGCAAAAAAAGTTGTAAAATGGAACAAAACTCACTTAACAACTACCTTGCTTAATGTTGGGCTCAATTGTGGCTGTATGTTGAGGACTACCTATAATCTATTTGCTGCTTGTTTTAGACCTGCTTACCATTAGCATGCCCACAATAAATCAGCCTGGCAGAAAAAATATTACCCAGAAGGCATGTGGACTAATAGCTGCCATCCAATCAATAGGCCAAAGTATCAGCCCTACCCAGTCCTGTGAAAGCTCTCCTGGGCAAGTCTACCTGCCAGACAGGAGAATAGGGATGAAAATCTAAGCTCATTTTACTTTCTTATGTCTTTTGCCAATCTTTGCACAACTTGGTGAGTGACATCCTTCAGAGAAAATGGTCCACTTTTCTTTGAGGTTATCCCTGAAATTACAGAGTCTATCAGTAGTGGGTTGCCCCCGGTTCGGACCGGTTCTATAGAACGGGTAGTAAAACCGGTGGGAGGCTCCGCCCACCGACCCCGACATCATCAAGACGCTTCTGCGCATGAGCAGTAGCGTGCGGTCCTGTTGCGAACTGGTAGTAAAGGTAAGTAGAACCCACCCCTGGAATCTACTAATATTCTAGTGAAGTCTGTCTTGACAAAAGAGACTTTGTGTTATAGCCAATCCCTTTTCCTGTGTAAAGGAGCAAAGGGAGAGGCGATCTGCCAACAGAAGAGAATATTTGTAGCTCAGAATTGAACTGTAGGTTCCTTGGTGCTCTCTGGGTTTGGTGGTTTACTTGCAGACATTTCATGACCCAAATAGGGCACATAATCAGTGCTAGAAGGGAGTGGTGTTTGCTCTCTTTTTATATACTAGTGGCTTGCCCTGTAAGTGTGTGCAGGGGGGGAGTGATCTGGAGATTCTTGACATATACTCCTTGATAAACAACAGCCTAATCAAAGAACCACCCATAGTGGTTCTACCCATAGCGACAGGACAAGCCACTAGTATAATAATAAAAGAGCAAATCCACTTTCTTCTAGTACTGATGATGTTTGGTTTGGTAATGAAATTCTGGGGGGAAAAACCCAGCCAAGCTCAGAGAGAACCAGGGACCTGACAGAGCAGGCTTGTTCTACTGATTCCCATTTCCAATCTACTGAAACAAAAGGAAAAGAATCGAGAGGTGAAATGACCCTGTAAATTATAAAGCAAAGAATGGGTAGAGTAACCACAACAGGACCCTGACAGTCTGGAAGAGTTTGGGAAACATCAGAGTTCTTGTCATCTGACAGGCCTCAAAATTGTTGTCATTGGGCTCCTTTCAGGGGTGAAATGCTCCCGGTTCGGACGGGCTCGGGCAAGTAGGTAACGATGGCGGCGGGCAGTTCGGAGAACCGGTAGCAAAAATCCCTGCCCCCGCCCCCCATGCCCAGCTGAGCCACGCGATCATCAGAGGCTTTTTTTTCTTTTAAATGGCTGTGACGATCCAAGCTCTGACGATCCCAGCTGAGTTGCCTGCCAATCAGGCAACTCAGCTTGGATCGTCAGAGCCATTTAAAAGAAAAAAAGTTTTTTCTTTTAAATGGCTGTGACGATCCAAGCTCTGACAATTCCAGCTAAATTGCCTGATCAACAGAGGGTTTTTTAAAAACCTTCTGACGATCAGGCAACTCAGCTGGGATCGTCAGAGCCTTTTGAAAGCATTTTTTTTACATGGTTTTACATGTAAAAAATGGTTTTAAAAGTAAAAAAAAAATTGACCATGCCCACCCAGTCACATTACCCCACACACACACCAAGCCACACCCACAGAACCGGTAGTAACAAATTTTAGATTTCACCACTGGCTCCTTCCCATAGTGCTTGCTATGGTGGACTTTGAAGTCTGGGAACCATCTTGAGAAATGAAAACAACACATGCAATGATATCACATCATTGTATCTACGGAGTTCTTAAGGTTTCACCCTCAAGGCCAAGCAAATGTCAGCCACAGCACTGATGATAAACAATTAATAATTGCCATGAACATGTTGCTTCTGTTTTTCAAACAGTAGCTTTGCCAGTCACATTCATAAGGCAATGGAAGCACAGAAAAATAAATCACAGAAGGAAGAAAGTGCATTTCTAGAGAAATGCTGTGACCTCTGTGTGAGATCTTTGGAACAGAATTAATGGTCCAATTTTCTAACTTCAAGTGGTTAATGAATAAAAACAGTGGTATTAAATTACTTGGGAGGGGGGGATGGTTTTTGTTTGAAAGATGCCAACCAATATCTTTCTAACTTCAGAGGCAGAACCAGATCTTGTGCCCAGTTTATACTAGGTTATTTCATCACAGTCAGCAGGGAATTTCACCAAAGTCAGATTGGCATCGTGAAATGGAGACTCCAAAACCAGATTACAACTGTGATTGCGTGCCCAGAACTGGAGAATGAACAAACAATTCACTCTCATGTTACAATTCTGTTCCCATGTTGTATCCTCTACAAAATCTTTTTTTGGGGGCTCTTTTGCATTTCCCAAGTTGCACTGACCAGATCATGCCTTGATTGAAGATCAGACCAAGCACATTTCCACTAATGTCAAATTCTGAATACGAAGGCTAAGAAGAAAGAACAGAAGATTTTTCTTAGATTTGTACAGTAACACCACTTAGGATGGTGTGAAAAGCAAAATTATTCCACTGCAATTGTTTCACATTAGGGTTTCCTGGTGCCAACAAATATTATTGAAAAATACTTTGTCACCTGAAGGTAGATTTTTTTAAAACCGAATTTTGCATTGTGTTGATAGAGCTGTTTAAGTATACAGACTTTTTTAAGGTTCTAGTTTTAAAAAAACTATAGACACGCTATAAATATATTATTTATAGTTTATACAGAGACTGTCAAACAAGTCAATCAATTATTACAATTCCAAAATAGTCTTGACCAGGATTGCTTGAAGGATTTGAAGTGGGGGGGAAAGGAAAATGGCAGCCACAATAGTACAATGGAGACTGTTTTTGTGGGCATGGTAGTGTTTCAATAACGCTGTTGTGGCCATTACCTTTATGATACTTTATGGGCATCTCTATTATTAAATGATAGGTGGGGACATTCTCCCCACATCTACCAAGTAACAATGTACAAAATTGAAGGCCGATGTGCATTGTTTTTCCTGAATTTCTCTAAAAACTAGTAATGACTTCCCCTTTAACCTGTTTTAAGATCAATCCATAAGAAGGACTTATTATGTTCTATGAAATGAGGACAGAACCCATCCAGCATTTCAGGTTTTATTAAAAAATAGGTTTTGGCAGATAAGAAAAATGTGTAAATAATCCTGACTAGTTATCATTTTTTATCTTTCACAAATGCATGATGAAGAAAAAATAAATAGAAAGAAATAATGGTTAAGGGACCATGTTAGAAACTGGGAGATGGTGACATCTAATCCCACCTTAGACATGAAAGTTGCTGGGTAACTTTGTAACAGTCACCTGTCTTACCTCAACTCAACTCACAGCTTTGTTGTTGTGGGGAAAGTAGGAGGAAGAAGGGATATTAGACATGTTTGCCACCCAAGTTATTTATAAAAATAATAAAGGCAGGATAAAAAAAAATTTTTTTTAAATCCACAAATGGAGATTTTTGTCAGCCTACAGTTGAAGTGTTGGAGATTTTTTAAAAATCCTTCCACCTGCTATATCTGCTTGTCACCCAGCTTTTAAAAACCCAGAATGCAAACAAAAATATATCATTGTTTCTCAACCTCGGCAAGTTTAAAACATATGGACTTTAAACTTCCAGATTCTGCATTCTGGTTGGGGAATTTTGGGAGCTGACATCCTTGTATCTTAAACTTACCAAGGTTGACAAACACCTGCCTATATTAAACATAAAATCTTTGCCTAAACTGAAATGTTTTATGTTGGTAGATCAGAAAAGCGCATGCTAATCCCTTAAATGCCCTGCCAAAAACTGAGCAAAATGTACTGATGTTACATCTCAAGTAAGGAATTAAGCTGATTATCCTTGATTCATTTGGCATCATGAAAGAGGAAAAGCAGCAATAGTTTTATGCAATATGTATTTCAAAGAAGAGTGAAACGAACAGAGCGCCTAACATCTGAAATACAGATTTCAATTTCCGGAAATGGAAGATCACTGCTGTTTGCCAATAACTTGGTGATCTAGGAGCCCTTAGGAGTATCCTAGGCAGAACCTAAAATTATGATAAAATCCTGTATTTTCCCCTCACATTAGTTTGCAAGCTTGTAATTAAATATACATTCCACCACGTAAATGTCAACCATTTTCCCTTCTCTTCTTCCTCTTTCTTTTATTCACATTTTAACTATCTTGCAGGATAAAGCATTCTGCGTTGGGGTGTTTGAAAACGAACACATAAAGAGAAGAGTTACCTCACTATGCTACTCTGAAAGTTTCCAAAGAGATCCTACAGGTAAGCTCTATGTCCAGTTACTACTCCTACAGGTATATCATCTATTTTCTCTTCATTTACTTAATTGCTCACATGGAAGGTCATTTTTTCCAGAAATACTGTCCAGAGCCAGTTTGGTGTAGCGGTTACGACACCAGGCTAGAAACCAGGAGACTGTGAGTTCTAGTCCTTCTTTAGGCATGAAAGCCAATTGGGTTACCTTGGGCCAGTCATTCTCTTTCAGCACAATCCAACCTCACAGGGTTGTTGTTGTAGGGAAAATAGGAGTAGGAAGGTATGTTTGATATGTTTGCCATCTTGAGTTATTTGTAAAATAATAAAGGTGGGATATAAATAAATATATAAAAATATTGAGATGAGTTTTATATTTCCATATGCAATCTGAGCTTAAATCCTTTTCTAATAAAAATGTAAGATGGGGGGGGGGAGCTTCAACTGATATTAATACAAATGTTTTGCTTTCTCACATCCTTTCCACCAAAGGAAGGCAATTTAGTTGGACTTGTTGAGCGTAGGAATGAAACTGGCACTTTTAAGTCAATGGTACAATATAAAACTCTTATCTCAGCCTGTAAGGCAGAGGTCTGCAAACTTGACAGCTTTAAGACTTGTGGACTTCAGCTCCCAGAATTCTCCAACCAGCTATGCTATGCTAGCTATGCTGGCTGGAGAATTCTGGGAGTTGAAGTCCACAAGTCTTAAAGCTGCCAAGTTTGAAGATCTCTGCTGTAAGGTATAATAACATTTTTCCTAATGTTCTCATAATAACACTTTCAGAAGGATTCGTCCTTTTCAGCCCCAGCAAAATTTGTTTTCAGCCACCCAGTCACCTGCTTGCAAGATGAACAGCTATGCAAATTAAAAAAATAAAATAAAGCCAAGGTGTCAGTACTTACAAAGCCATATTCCAAGTCCCAACACCAGCAGTGATTGAATACCCTGACAAAAACGGCTTTTAGGAAATCCCCAATTAAAATTGTAATGTAGGTTGTCACAGTGTCAGAGACTGTTAATCGCACAAATTCCTGCAAGGAAAAAAAAATTATCTTTAAATTTTTAAATTATCTTTGTCTTTATTTAGGAAAAGAAGTGTGCATTACTTTTTTTACTGTACTGATTTGCTTCTGTCCCCACCCCCCATTTTCTATTTAAGACAGGGCAACTTTAAGATTTGTGGATTTCAACTCCCAAAATTCACCAGCCAAGCATGTTGCCAAGGTTGGACATCCTTGATTTAAGTAAAGTGGTTAGCTTGAATCTTACACATGTGGGTTTGGTTGTTGGTGCCTACAATTTATTTCTTATTTATCAAATTTATTGTCAACTCACAAAGCATCCCTGGTGTGCTCTCGAGTTGCCATAGGCAAGGGGGATGGGAAAATGAACTTTGCAGCCGCAGCGAGGCAGCACGTCAGTCAAAACAAAAGCACATTCCAGCCATATCTCTGTCAAGGCCATCTCCGCAGTTACCCACAGTAGCTGGAGGGGAGTGATCTCTACAACCCACAAAATTGCTTCATTGGAGAATGTGACTGATGACACACCTTGGAGGGAGGGGGGAAACAGGGTCAGAGCCAGAACGTAAATTAAGTGGGATCAGAGTTGGCTTCACTTGGAATGTGCCAACATGAAGCTCCTAATAAATAACTGGATTTCTTCTGAAGCTTGGCTTGAGGCTCATGATTTAATTAGGGAATCGATTGGAACCCTGACATTTATTTCCTGAGTTTCCTCTAAAATTTATATACAGTCATGCAGCACTGCAAAATCAAATTGAATTAATTAAATACAATATAAATAAATAATGCTAAAATTATTCTATGGCTTGGACTAAGCAGACTCATTTGGAAAAGTTCAGGGATACAGTGTCCTTATGACTCTCAAAAACTGGATTCATTTAGATTGATTTTCCTAGGTACATTAATATGTTGATATGCTCCCCAATTGTATTTTCCTTCTCTTGCTATTCAGCACCCCCTAAAGTGATTCCACCAGGGACATTATGAAGAGTTGTGATAAGAATTTACAACAACAGAAGCAACTAATGGTAAGCAAACAAACATGATTTCAGTATAAGACCTGCTTTACCTGACCAACCATGGTTTCCCAACAAGGACCTCTGGGAACATCTGCAGGGTTGACCTGAACAGGGGGAGTTGTGATGTTTTCTGGCAGGGTTCCATTGTACAAACTAGCTAGCCAGATTGTCATGTTCTGTTTTACAATCTTCTCTTCATCCAGCTAAAAAAAGAAGACTCATTTTTCCCCTGGATCACAAATCATATTAATGAATATTATTCAGAGGCAGTGTGAAAAAAAACTGACTATAACTTAAAAAGGAGAGGCAGTTTGGTGTGATGCATCAGGCTAGAAACCAGAAGACTGTGGGTTTTAATCTCGCCTTGGACATGAAGCCAGCTGAGTGACCTTGGAATGGTCACTTTCTCACAGCCTTAGGAAGGAAGCAATGGCAAACCATTTCTGAAAAACCTTGCCAAGGAAACTGTGGGGACTATACCAGGTAGTCTCCCAGAATCAGACAGGACTGAACAAAAGAAAAACGTAAAAGATTCATTTTCAGATTATTTCGGTAAAAAAACTCAATAGAGGCCCACCTCTCAGTTTGTTATTTATCACTTGGTAATAATAATAGCAAACTGAGAGTCAGGTTGTTTATATTGGTTAAGGAACCAAATTCTCCAAGGACCTGCACCAACTGAGAATGGACCTGAGTGATTTTATTCACTAGCTGAGCTGAAAATTCTTCAGAGAAGGCCTGAAGGTAAACCTCTGAACCACTCTTACCCAGGAGGGTCCAGGTAACTCTAAACAGGGCCACTGGAAGATTCTCTGCAGATGCAATAAGAGCAGAGAAATGTTGATGTTTCACTGCTGTAAATGCCACAAGATAGGCCTTAATAGTGGCTCTAATTCTTGATTCATCCCTTGTCTTCCTCCAGTAGCATTCTAGATCTCTCTTGACCATTTTCAGCTCACTCAACTGCTTCATAGACTACAAGGAATGCAGAGAGCGATGGGCCAAGAGAAGTCATACGGGCATGATTCCAGGGGTGGGCTGCTGGGGGTTCACAGGGGTTCGGGAGAACCTCTAGCTAAGATTCTGTGCAGTTCGAAGAACCCCAAAATCCCACTCCTGGCTGGCCCCGCCCACCCCGCCACACCCAACCCATGAGTCCCCACACAGCCCGTTTTGGATGCAGGTAAGTGCAGGGCGCACATGGAGGCTTGGGGAAGATGAAAAATGGGCCTACTGGAAGTTCGGGAAGGCCGGAAACAGGTTCAGAAAAGGGCCTGCGGAGCCTGGGGAGGCTCTTTTTGCCCTCCCGGAGGCTTGAAGAAAGCCTCCGGAACCCAGGGAGGGCAAAAACACACACCCCGTGCCATGGTGCAGGAGGCCGACTAGGCCACGCCCACCATGGCCATGCCCACCAGCAACTGGGCAGAGAACCCCTTGCTAAAATTTTTGAAGCCCACCCCTGCATGATTCTATCCAACGCCTCAGCAGGACTGTGCAGCAGAACTTCAGATAAAATTTCCAGTTTCCTTTGGAATCCTATGAGTCCATCAGTCACCAGTCAAATTGGTCCTACCTCCCTGGAGATAACGTGAGAGAATCTCAAGTCACCAGGATGTGATTTGAACATGACAGAAAACCAAAATAGTTCCCCTCCTGAGATGATATTGTGATTGCTCTGACAAGAAAACTAAGTCTGGTGTTTGACCAGTGTTTTGAGTTAAGCGAGATATAGATATATTGTTTGGTGGAAATATGGGAACTATAAGCAGTGAAATTTAGGGAAAATGAAATGCAAAATTACATTTCACCTACATTCAGGAAATCCTGCATATATTACACTGTAGCTGAGAATAACATTTCACAAACACAGTTCGGTTCCAGAAAGCACAGGATAAGGCATCAGAAGACTGCTATTTTTGCTATGATTAAGATCAGCAGTCTAGAAATATAATGTAGGTTTAAACTACTTCTACAAATATTTGAATTTAAAAGCAGATATATGCCAATCCGACAATAAGAATTATTTCCTCTTTAGCAACTCAAAATCCAAGATGTGATATTTGTATTCCAGCTCAATTTGGCCTGAATGAGTTGCAATTAAAGCAAATAAGCCTTAACTAACATTCCATTAGTCTCGATGTGACATTAATAAATACAGTATTTTTCTATATTCTGAAAATCAAAACATCAGACTGGAACCTCTTTCTAGAAAGCTGAAAATATAGAAAGCAAAATACTTGCCTTGAGATTGATTTCATCCATGAGAGCAATAATGAAGGTGTACAAGTTGCCCAGAAAAAGAGCGAAGATGCGTCCCAGCTGCCACCGTAAAGCGATTCGGGGATGATAATTTTCAAGGTTGCTGATGACATCAAATAAAGTTGGACAGAACATTCCTAGAAGTGACATGACCATATTCACCTGAGGAAGGGAGAGTAAAAGTTAAAACATTTAATATAATATTCACATCCTACTTGTGCAGCAATAAATATTAACTTTTTAAAGAATAAGATGTAACAAAAATAGTGACTGTATTTATCAGTATTGTTGTTTACCTTATTGTTATTTACCCTATTGTCTTCTACCTTCTCTTTTCTTCACATTGAAAGGTGAAGTTTGACAGAGAATAATAAGATTCTATTGTAGTTTGTAATCAAAGTAAAGCATTAAGAGGTCTACCAGTACAGATGCTAAAAAAAGGTGTGTTTTTTTACTATAGAAAGGACGGTAAGACAGTGATGGATCCTTAACTCTTCAGATGAAATAACTTTGGAAAAAAGTACATATCTGATCTCATCGGATAATCAACTGAATCACTCAGTCAAATATCTTATAGCGATCAGAAAACATCAGGCAGGTAATGGACTATTTACTCATAAACTATAACTGTGAGGCCATTACCTTCCAAAAAATAGTATTAAGAAACAGGAGAATAAGTCACCAAATTCTCCTACCTTTGAGTCTATTTGTTTGGATATTCATATTATGAAAAACACACATATATGAGAAATTCACAATGTTCCCACCTGGTTTCTTTTAATTTACAGGTTTTATACACTGGGGAAGTCATTTCCACACCTGTAATTTATGACACCTTCATAGCATTACCCACCTGTCTTTAAAGCCTGTCTGTAGCATTGCATAATTGTTTATGAAAGCTTGTCTTAAAGCATGGATTGCATTTTGTCATGTTTTGATCAAGTATGAATTTGTTTATTTAATTGAATTATTTATTTGGGGGGAAATATATATTTTTTTTATCAACTATTTTTCTTAGAAAAAGAAAAGCCCAGTGCAATAAACTATCCTTTTAAAAATAGGTAAAAGTAACATTAAAAATTTTAGCTATGAAGTTTAAGACAGATCACCAATATTGAATTGTTTTCTTTTGGGGATTATTCCAAAATAAATATCTACATTTTTATTTTTAGAAATACACTAGTAAACACATCCCAGTAATCAATGGATCTAAGTATTACTGGCAGTAAGATAACAATTGTAAGTAGATTTTCTGTTCTTTACAGCTGATAGTATTTTGTCCTGCTGAAGAAGTCAAACAAACTGGAATAGGTTCAGAAAAGGTTGATGATCAGGCATCTAGAAATTAAGTTTGATGAAGAGAGATCAAAGGACTATTAGAAGAGATCAAAGCATTCTTTAAATACTTAAAAAGATGGCAATTCAAGGCTGGTTGTTTATCATTCTAAATTAATTGTCATGACTAACATGAAGGAAGATCTTAATAGAAAAAAACTTCCTAACAGAAAGATCAGAAACAATTTCCAGAAAGGGTGGACTTCCTTCCCTTGAAGTTTGACAATTCCAGTTGGGGATTTTTAATTTGGATTCCCATAGTTAGTAAAGGATTAATTTAATGGCCTACATGGCCCTTTCCAATGCTTTGATTTTATAAATTTAATCCTTCTTCAAACCTAAAGCTTGAACAATGCAGGTAATCCTTGACTTACAACTACAACTAGGACCAGATTTCCTCTTGCTAAGCAAAGCAGTTGTAAGTGAGTCGTGCCCAATTTTATGACCTTTCATGTCATGGTTATTAAGAGAACCACTGCAGTTGTTAAGTGAATCACAGGGTTGCTAAGCAAATTCCATTTTCCCTCTTGACTTTGCTTGTTGGAAGCCAGCTGGGAAGGTTGTTAATAGCAATAGCATTAGCACTTAGACTTATATACTGCTTCACAGTGCTTTACAGCCCACTTTAAGCAGTTTACAAAGTCAGTCTATTGCCCCCAACAATCTGGGTCCTCATTTTACCCACCTCAGAAGGATGGAAGGCTGAGTCAACCTTGAGCCTGGTGAGATTTGATCTGCCAAATTGCAGTCAGCCGGCAGTTAGCCTAATTTCTACTCTTAGAGTACTGCACTCTAACCACTGCGCCACTGTGGCTCCTTAGCTCATATGAATGGCAATCATATGATGCTTCAACCGATGTAAATAGATGCCAATTGCCAAATACTCAAATTTTGATCATGTGACTATGAGGATGCTACGACCATTGTAAGTGTGAAGACCATTTGTATGTTTTCAGTGCTGTAGTAATTTCAGTGGCTAAATAAATAGATGCAAGTTGAGTGATCCTGAGATTCTGCACTTCTAAGTATCATTATGAATTTATATGCAAGGCTGAGATTACAGCCGCATTCTAGCATTCTCCAATATTCCAGTTCCATAAAAGCATTTAATTTTGTGTGGTTGCCATTATAATGTACCTTAATTAAGAATTAACAGCTGTATATTATAAATCATGCATTCAAACTCATACTGTGTGCAGTAATAAAAATCTTCTCAGATATCCCAGCTGCAACAGAGACTAATAAAAAAATCCCTACCTTTTTGAGTAAACATATTTTGTTTCTGCATAATTAGTGTAATAATTTAGAGTTATGTGTTTATTGTAGTTATACAGTTGCAGGAAAATTTAATATAAGGAATGGCAGGATAATTCAAGTTTTCCACTCACACATTTGTTAGTCAATTACTCCTTTCTATGCCACTAATTCAATTTGGTTTCTATGTTTTTCCCTTTAAAAAATCCAGCCTAAATATGACAATTTATATCTGATGGATATAAAAAGTTTTTTAAAAATCTAACAATGACAAACAGGGAATGAAATTGAAAATAAAAGAGAAAACAAGATGATACCTGAAACTTGTCTATTTAAAAATTTGCCTCGGACAACCTAAACAGTTCAATACCAATTGGAAATATCCAGTCAAAAACAATTCTTTGTTTTAGGCGAGAATACAACACTTAACTGGCATACTTATTTCTCAGTTGTCATGAATCAAGGCAATCTGATGAGCATTTAATCCTGGTCAAGATGAAAAGATTTATCTTGATGAACCAGAAAGCATTATTTTGTTATTTTTCTTTTTTACACACTGTTTTTCCGTTACATTCTATTTAAAACCCTTTCTTGCTTTCAGGTATAGGGAGTGCTAAATAAGCAAGACCATTTTAAAATATCCTACAAAAACTTGATTTTTAACTTCTAACCATTCTTTTAAATTCCTGATGTGCCGCATTCTCTTCAATAAGGGTCACTTTACATATAACATTTTGGAGGTATACACAAAACACATATATCTTACAAAAGCAATTTCTGTCTGCTTATAACTTACAAGTAATGTGCCTCAGTTACAGCCTTAAGAGGGATATGTGGATTAGTGATCTGTATAATGTGCATTAGTATTAGTTCATTCTTACATTAACAATGTTATATAAAATGTAATGTAAGTTTTATATAATGTTATATAAAACTTTTCTTAGCACATTCTTTTAGCAAACGTTTCCCTAATATCCTTTTTTCCAGAGCACCTTTGCCAAATTTTTGTACTCATTCATTTTGTACTCATTTTGTACAAATTTCCCCATATTTTAATTTTGGAGTCAATTTTTTGTCTACATTATTTTTATAGTCCTGTATAATTCTAATCATTGAATCCCCACATCAACATTTCATTTTTTCCCCTGTCTATAGAAACATCTTATGGAACTTTGCTTTTATGAATGATAGCAGCGGTGAGACTTTAATACTTCAGATTCAATTTTTGAGCTAATAAATATCTTGAGAAACAGATGCTGGTAGAATTCATTATTTATGTATTTCTACATGGGATGACAAATGATATTCTGCTGGCTAAACCACTTCACTTGAAAGTAATCCCTAATGCTATGCAAATGTTCAGTATTTGTATTAAAACCCATTTTGCCAAGATTTTGAAATCAAGTGACTGTACACTGAACAAGTCTAATGAAGCAGGATTATAAACCATGTTTGCAGACAGATTTGGAAGGGCCACTAAAATCAAGTAGTTTTACAATATGAAATATGTTTAATTCAGATAGGAAGCACGGACTCAAGTGTCACATGTAAAAGGAAAGAAACATGTAAATTGTCTTTATTTGTGATCCTCCAAACCATGTTTAGAGAATCATTTGAATGAAACCAGGGTATAAAGTTATGATGAGTGATACAGGTCTTTATTTTTATTTTTATTTTTTTAATTTGATTTATATGCCACCCTTCTCCGGAGACTCAGGGCGGCTTACAATGCGTTAAGCAATAGCCTTCATACTTTTGTATATTTATACAAAGTCAGCTTATTGCCCCCACAATCCGGGTCCTCATTTTACCTACCTTAGAAAGGATGGAAGGCTGAGTCAACCTTGAGCCTGGTGAGATTCGATCTTACTTTAATTGCAGACAGCTGGTGTTAAATTACAGAGCTCTGTCTGTTGAGCTATTCAGGCTCCTGAAGGCTCCCTTTATAGTCTTATCCATGAGTTTGCATATCATAGAACATAGAATCATACAACTGGAAGAGACCATAGAGGACATCCAGCCCAAGCTTTGCAGTTTGGCGGCCTGGCTGGGGAGAAAAGGGGAATGGGTCTGTACAAGCAGTGGGCTGGCATGTATGTGCACACGCAGCCCTTGCAAAAGCAGCAGGCCAGCACAAATGATGTGTTGGTGCGCATGTACACAACTTGACTTGTATGAGTGGTGGTCTGGCACACATGGGCTGGCACACATGTGGCTGCTTGTGCAAATTGAGCTGCATGCATGCTCCGGCCAACCACTCACATGGCCCAGTTCTGAATAGACCATGGCCCAGTAGTGGGCCATGGCCCGGAGGTTGAGGACCCCTGTTCTAGTCCTATTCCCCTGCTCAGGGCAGGAGACCTTATATCGTCCTGGTCAAAGGGTTGTCCAGTCCATTCTTGAAAATCTCCAGTGATAGAGCATCCACATCTGTGAGAGGCCAACTGTTCCATTGATTAATTGTTCTCACAGTCAGAAAATTTCTCCTTACTATAGATTGGATGTCTCTTTAACAAGCTTCCACCCATTACTTTTTTTCCTGCCCTCTGGTGCTTTGGAGAAAAAGTCAATCCTCTCTTCTCTGTCACAGCCCCTCAAGTACTGAAAGAGAGTTATCATGTTCCCCCACTCCTTCTTCATGCTTTATACTTCATTTCCAGAGGTGGTATTCAGCAGGTTCTGACCAGTTCTGGAGAACCGGTAGTGGAAATTTTGAGTAGTTCGGAGAACCAGTAAATACCACCTCTGACTGGCCCTGCCCCCATCTATTCTCTGCCTCCCGAGTCCCAGCTGATCAGGAGGAAATGGGGATTTTTCAGTAACCTTCCCCTGGAGTGGGGAGGGATGGAGATTTTACAGTATCCTTCCCCTGCCATGCCCACCAAGCCATGCCCACAGAACCGGTAGTAAAAAAAATTGAATCCCACCACTGTAAATCATATCCATACTTCATGTCTAAGTTCACCAACTATGGTAAACTTATGGATTTTCATAGTCAGGGCTTGAATTTGTTCTGACCTTATGCTGATTTTACTCACTCATAAAAGTACCAATCAAACTACCTCATTTTCTCAGCAGTCTCTTCCTGATTTTCCTCTCAGCCAGCCCAGCTCAACAACAGATCTTCACAGTACTTCTTTCCCTCCTTCCAATCAGCCCATATACTGTATTCCTGCAATATACCACTGTTCATTGCAGAGAATTCTTGGCCATTTTCTGGGACTCTGAAACCAGCTTGCTCAATTCCCACAGATTCAAGATCTTATTATCAATGATTTCACAATTCTGCAGTTGTAAGCTAGAACGGAACTCTTTCCCAAATAAGATGAGCCAACTCTAGTTTTGCATTGAAGCAAGACCATCTATTTTACATATTCTGGATTCAGAATCTAGATTAGCAGTGGACAATCTAGTAAAGGAGAATCTTTGTAGCTCAGGATTGAAATGATGGTTCCTTGGTGCTCTCTGATCTTGGCTGTTTTCTTGCAGATGTTTCATTTCATTACCCAAACTAGCTAACATCATCAGTGGCGGCACTAGTTCGGACTAGCACTGATGATGTTACCTGGTTTGGATAATGAAAGAAAGGTTGCACGCTGTTTTCTGCAAGAAATCAACCAAGATCAAAGAGCACCAAGGAACCCTCAGACAATCTATTATTATAACATTGAGTTACTCTGAATATTAGAGTTTTATTGTGCAACTCTTCCTAGATTCTGAAAAGCATTTCATAGTCCTAATAATATCATAGTATATATAGATTGTGAAAATCTGGTGCTGTAATCATCAAATATTGCATTCCAAATCTGACAAGAACATGTGCTCATCACTTGTAGCAGCAGATCTGTATTACGGCTGGATTTCACATTTGACTGAAATGTTGTCTGAAAGCCCAACAAATTTTGCAATTGCATTACTTCCGCACAACTGATGTGATGGCGTTACATAGAAACAGTGAGTATTTAAATGCAATTTTCACCAAGCTATTCACCAAGATGATAGAGTCCATCCATCCTAATTTAAGTCATACATAATTCTCACTGAAATTTATGGGACCTTCATAGTCCTGAATTATTTTGTTCATTTCTGTGAAAATTAAATGTGAGAATACCGTAGATGCAATCCAAAATATCTTATGAAAAAAATGATTTCAATAACATTACAATTCCTTTATGTCCATTCTGAAAATGAAAAACTTCAGTGACAATTTCTGGCCTTCGGAGGGCCTCTGGAGCCCGGGGGAGGCCGTTTTCACCCTCCCAGAAGCTCGAGGAAAGCCTCTGGAGCCTGGGGAGGGTGAAAATGCCCCCCCCATGGTGCAGGAGGCTGAGGAGGCCACGCCCATCATGGCCACGCCCACCCAGCAACCAGCAGAGAACTAGTTGCTAAAATTTTTGAATCCCACCCCTGGTCGTAAATCACTTCCTTCAGTGCCATTGTTACTTTGAACAGTCACTAAATGAACTGTTCTAAGTCAAGGACTGCCTGCGTTTATTTTTTCCTACATAATTCTAGCTCTTCTAATCACATTTGTTTTACAAAACAAAGCGTGCTGGAACGCACTTCGTTCCTCTCCCACCATCCGTAGTTTTCAATGCCTGCTAGAGCAAACTTCTGGGATCGTCTCACGACGAAGTAAATAAGATAGCCGCTCCCAGCCAGGGTGCACAAAGCAAAGAAATTCGCGAGAACCCTTAGGAATCGAGTCAGGTGGATGTTCTCTTCTTTCCGGCTCTCTTGTTCCTCCACAATGGCTTCCTGTGCTTATTTGACACATTAAAACAAAAATAGTATAAGTAAGCAAACTGAGAAGAATCAGGATACCAGCCAAAAAAATCTATAACCAGAATATCCTTTTTGCTCTTCATTACAGCCTCTGTACATTAATCTTTATTAAGGCCCTGCATCAGGGGTGAAATTCAGCAGGTTCTGACAAGTTCTGGAGAACCAGTAGCAGACATTTTGAGCACTTCGGAGAACCGGCAAATACCACCTCTGGCTGGTCCCAGAGTGGGATGGGAATGGAGATTTTGCAGTATCCTTCCCCCAGGAGTGGGCAGGGAATGGGGATTTTGCAGTATCCTTCCCCCAGGAGTGGGGAGGGAATGGGGATTTTGCAGTATCCTTCCCCCAGGAGTGGGGTGGGAATGGAGATTTTGCAGTATCCTTCCCCTGCCATGCCCACCAAGCAACACCACGCCCACCAACCCACGCCCACAGAATCGGCAGCAAAAAAAATTGAATTCCACCACTGCCCTGCATGTTGCACAATTATTAAAAGATGCTACCAAGTACAAATTAAAAAGCAAGGACATTTTCAAACATCCATGAAAGTAAATATTCACTATAATACCATGAATGAAGATAATAATATACAAGGGAATCCAAATATTAACATTAATTGACAGGACTATATAACTACTTTGTGAATGAATAACCAGAAGGCTTATGCACTAATTACTAATCTGCTGACCATGTATTTATGTAAATATAAACTACAACTACAACTCTACACCTTATCATTTTATCTGAGGGGTTTGGCTGTCTGAAATTTAGGTCAGAGACCCTTCAAGTAGGGCCAAAGGTGTAAAACTCATTTCCACAGTAACATTAAGCAAGTAATATTACAAACAAGGAATGCTAGATGTGTCTACTAGAAATAGTCAAAATTACCACTTCCTTTGTCTGTGAAATCCAGAAAAATCCAAGCCAGCTCCCTTGTTGCCATTGCATGCTATTATGGATTGAATTTGGGTCAGTTTGGATTTGGGACAATATTGAGCGGCAATAAAGTGAGTTGTTTGGGTTTTTTCTGAATTTCATAGACAAGAAAGTGGGGAATCTGAATGTTTCTGATAGATCCATGTAGCATTCTCTGTTTGTAAAATTACATGCTTAATGTTACTGTGGAAATGAATTTTACATTTCAGATAAAGTAATAAAATGATAAGGTGCAAAGGTTTACATTTGCATATATGTGTTTCCATATATGCTCAGCAGTTAGTAATTACTGCATAAGCCTTCTAGTTATTCATTCACGAAGTAGTTATATGGTTCTGAGGAGGGGAAGTAACAATAAACAGGATGATCTCTATATTGTGCCTACTGAATTCTACATGTTGTCAGTAACACAATTACCTGCATTATAAGATGGCCTTGCTACTGACTGATTCAGGTATTGATTTCACAGTAATATATATAGTAATATATACAATAATAGGACAATATCACTCTTGTGAATAAAATTCCATTATTCTCACTTGATTACTCTGAACAAACTGTGAGCAAAGATTACCTTAAAGCTAGTAGTTATTGATGCAAATTTATTATCTGCTGTTTCAGGATTGCCAATCAAATAATCCCAGCTGGTGAACATTTTCCAGCTAAAGTTAAAACTTGTATCATCTCCCCCACCATCATTATGTGCATTCTTTGCCATTCTGAAAAGATCAAAAATAGAAGTGTGGCTTAAATGATTTTTTTTTTCAAGAAAAAAATGGTCTAAACATCTCTTTCCAACCCTGTGATTCCATGATAAATTATTTCCACTGTAGAGAGATTTAGGTAGGTGTCACCTCAGCTCCGCTCGTGACTATCCTTTGTTTTCTGATCTGCTCGTGCAAAAATAGAAAAATAAGCAAACACGAAACACACAAATCTTTTCATTGTTTTACTGTCTTTCATGAATTTATCAACAAGCTGAAGAATGTAAGGCGATTTACTCTCAAGTTTCTGTAAATATAGATCAAGATTACCTTGTGGCCAGATGGAAAGTTAGCATGTACAGATTACATGTCAGGGGTATTTCTTATTGTTATGCCCTAGAGATTGTGCTGTGAGGTTTTCTTTCTTAATAAAATTACTAAATAGCAGCTACCTAGCAATCCTTTCCTGTGAGGAATTTATAGGGGGAAAAAACTTTTCAGGCACACAAAGAAATGTGGTTAATGTTTATAACAGGGTTTTTTTTTTTTAAGTATGATTTGTATGTGAAATTGCTTTTTATATTTTAATCAAGTAAGCAATGGATATGGAATAGAATGAGGTACAAAACCCTAAAACTTGGCACTGGGAGATTCAGTTTTTCTCTGAATCCTAAGGCTCTAGCTGAAATACTCTATGATCCTATACAAAAAAAATCAGCAGGCAGGGCACCAGTGATGGGTTGCTACCGGTTCGCCCTGGTTTGGGCAAACCGGTAGTAGCAGTGGCGGGAGGCTCCACCCACCCGCCCGGACGTCATCAAATATGCTCTGCGCATGCGCACACGAGCAAACTGGTAGCAAAGGTAAGTGAAACCCATTATTGGTTTGAATTTGAGGTTTAGAGTGCCCTGCAGTGGTGGGTTTCACTTACCTTTGCTACCGGTTGGCTCGCTCGCGCACCTGCGCTCGCTTCACTCACATGCGCAGAGCATATTTGATTATGTCCAGACAGATGGGCGGAGCCTCCCACCACTGCTACTACCAGTTTGCCCGAACCGGGGCAAACCAGTAGCAACCCACCACTGATTCAAACATTCAGTCTTAAGTTAATATTCAGCAAACCAGTGATAATTACAAACAGATTTTCACAGATTACCTTAACAGGGACTAGAGGTTACGGGGAAAGAAATTTAGATAACATTGAGTCAGAACAAAACCATAGAAAGACACTGCAAGTTAGATAAGGAATATTTTTGATGACTTATTTGACTTTATGACTTTGGAAATAGCCATGTCTTCATCTACCTAGTTTCCGAGAATTGTTATGAAGCCACAACAGAATGAGATTTAAAAAGTGTTTGCTGCCTGGGAGCCAAAAACAGGATATAAATGTAACATATAATAATCCGGTTAATCATTAATTACCTCTTTTTAATCCTTTTGAAATACTAGAAACTTACGTGCGAATGACCACCATGAAACTATAAGCGATGGTCCCAACACCAACCAAAAAATATGAAAGAGGCATTCGGAATTTCAGCCACCCAATTGTTCTCTGGTTATTGTAATAGCCGTAGAAAAGCACAGAATATTGTGCAAAGCCCTGAAAAATTAATGGCAAGAGTTCAGAAAAGTACATTTCATCAGACATGGGACAGACTTTAACCTAGCATGATTTAATTTGTTTTAAATCACCGCATCTCAATCTGGCACCATCCAGAAGTATCAGGACTACAATTTCCAAGGCTTTGAAGTTTTGGAATACTTTGGGAGATGCACTTCTAAAAGAACCTGAAGGCAGGACAAGAAGCAATGGATGGAAACTAATCAAGGAGAGAACCAACCTAGAAATGAGGAGACATTTCCTGACAGTGAACAATTAATTAGTGAAACAACTTGCCTTCAGAAGTTGTAGGTGCTCCATCACTGGAAGGTTTTTAAGAAGAGACTGGACAACCATTTTTTTTAAAAAAAAATTGATTTATATGCCGCCTTTCTCCGGAGACTTAACCTAATGCGTTAAGCAATAGCCTTCATACTTTTGTATATTTATACAAAGTCAGCTTATTGCCCCCACAAACTGGGTCCTCAATTTACCTACCTTAGAAAGGATGGAAGGCTGAGTCAACCTTGAGCCTGGCGGGATTCAATCTTACTTTAATTGCAGACAGCTGGTGTTAAATTACAGAGCTCTGTCTGTTAAGCTATCCAGGCTCCTTGATATTTGTCTGGAATGGTGTAGGGCAGGAGTGTCAAACTGGCGACCCACAGGCCAGATGCATCACACAGAGGCCACACCCACCCCAGTTCCGCAAAGGAGAAAAACATCACAATATGTCACATGATAGCAACGTGATGCTGCGAGTTTGACACCCATGGTGTAGGGCTTCCTGCTCGAACAGGGATTTGACTAGATGACCTCAAAGGTCCCTTTCAACTCTGTTACTCTGTTTCAATAAACAGTCTGAGCCATGTGCAAAGTAAAAGCTGTAGAGCTGGACCCAAATATTTATTGCATGTCGTGATTCACCTTCTAGAGTTAGTTCTGGTGGTAACGTAGAATGTGAACCTTTAAGAAACCTTTGTAGCCATCCTGGTCCATTAACTCTCTTCTGCCTACAGATGACCTCTTTTCTAAATGAACATTATGCTATGTATAAGAAACTGAAAAATATTCTCTTGGGCCCGTTATATCATACAGTCACACAATAGACTCCCTTCAGCTGAGAGTACTTTTGATTGGGCTTAAATATTATGAGAAAGGAGAAAGGAAACAGCAAAGTATTTTAAGACCAGGCATTCTACAAATCAAACCCAGCATTTTGGAACGCACTAGGAAAACAATTAAAACTTAGATATATTAAAGCAAAGTCATCATGGAAATAAGGAAATAACTCTGCAGTGAGACTGAAGATGTTTTGCAAAATAAAAGGGTAAGTGTCCAATCAAGGGTTACAATCCTTTACATATTAGACCAGGGTTGGGGATTTTCTGCCAAATGTTTTCATTACATCTTATATTGATGGCAGTGTGTGATCATTCTTGGATAAAAGTCAAACTGCCACAGAGCTTGGACGTAGCCCTAATAAATAGAACAGAGGCTGCTTCTGTCTAGGATAGGGATGTCCAACCTCGGCAACTTTAAGACCTGTGGACTTCAACTCCCAGAATTCCCCAGCCATGCTAGAGAATTAAAGTTGCCAAGGTTGGATACCCCAGTCTAGGACTTCACTGGGATGTAGTAATAAAGAGAGGATCAATGACTTTGCAAGCATTCTCCATCAATGCTCTTTTCTTGTCCTTTATTATTTCTTCTCCTATTAAAAAAATAGTAGGTTAACCTGTCAAAATCCTTCACTTTCATTTAGTTAACTATGCATTTGATATATTGAAGCTGCTGGGCTACTTAAAGCGAGTCATGTCCTGAACCTGTTAAGCCTCATTTGCAATAATTTCCATGATAAAAATGAAATATTAATACACATCATGTACATATTGATTTTTAGTGGGGCTTATCAATCTCTTTTACCAAATGCAGAGACAGAAGCATTGCTTTCATTGGTGAGTTACAGCACCAAAAGATGACCATTATCACTTTTGGTAGTCAAAAGTTGGCAGTATGAGAATTGCCATGTAGTCAAATATGCCATACATATTTAGCACAGGTTCTCTCAGTTATTACTTCCTAGATGTTCTGTTTTCAAAAAGAAAACCAAGTGGTGCTTATCAGTTTCTGTCCTTAAATTCTCATGACTAAGATGCAGGAAGTGAATAAAACAAAATAAAAATGAAGCTAAAAGTGTATTTCCGTGAAGCATGCAGGATGTTTAAAAATGCGAATACCAGCAACTATTCAAATAGTGGATAACTCGCAGAAAGGAAGAATTAACCTTCTTCTGTTGATTGGCATTGATGAAGATCATCTATTAGCCCCAATGAGTGATCTCTTACTATGCAAATGCCAGTTTCGAAAGGTTACATCAGGAGGGCAAGATAAATTCTCTTTCCTGACCTGATATGATCCTGAGAATTTTTGGTCCCCTTTGGGGGCATTTTAAAGATAAACAGGTTTATTTGTTCAGTATCTTATGACACAATTAATCAACTGGGTTTTTTTTTAACAGTTATATTTTTTAACCCAGGGCCAGTCAAGTGAGGTCATCAAGGTTCTGTCCCAATGCCAGGAGATGGGGTGGGATGGGAAAGAACCATCTCCAACTCAATTCTACCAAGACCAAGTGGATGTAGGCTTTTGATTGTGTTGATGCTTAGAGGCTTGTAGGAGATCTGAGGATACTTTGTCTTTGACCTTGGATGGGGTTGCACTTCGTCTTTCAAGGTTATCTTCCTGTGCCTGTTTCTAGATCAGGGGGTTCTTTAGACAATCACTCATGCCCTGGTTATCTTGCAGCTTGAATAGTACAACCCACTCTACATGGGATTGCTTTTGAAGACCACCTGGAAGCTTCAACTGGTCCAGGACACAGTGGTATAGGGAGTGATAGGCATACCTCAGCATGTCCATGTAACACTTCTGATTGTCAGTTTCTTTCCAGGTGCAGTTCAGTTCAATTTAAAGGCCATTAAAACTACATGACATGGAGAACTTCCAGCCAATTCAATCTTGGAGATTTAACTTGTTCCAGGTTCCTTTAATTAAGGATGAGCCCAGATGGCACAGTGGTCAGAATGCAGTATTCTGACCACTACCAACAGTTTGATTCTGACTGGCTCAAGGTTGACTCAACCTTCCATCCTTCTGAGGACCCAGATTGCTGGGGGCAATGTGTTGACTCTGTAAACCCCTTAGAGAGGGCTGTAAAGCACTGTGAAGTGGTATATAAGTTAAATGCTATTGTTATTTCTAATTAAACAATGTCATTTATCAGAACTCTGAAAGCATGCCTTCTCTATAGCATGTCTATCCTCTGGAATGAAGTTTCCCTGGAGATCAGGATAGGCCCAATCATTATTTAGAAGAGCTGTGCCACCAGGCATTGATAAGGTCAAGTGAGATCCCTTTTTTTTTTGTTTCCATACAAGTTTGATAAATGAATGAATGAAATATGTCATCGGATCTTTGTGTCTCCTACTTTTTGAAGGTGTCTAAAGAACATTGAACTGTGTTTCTGGCAACAGCATCTTCTGTTCCTTATTGAAAGGCATTTAAATGACTTCCACGTACTGTTTTCATACCTACATAGTTTCCTACTTCCATATATTTTTCCAGTGTGAAACAATCCTGATCACACCATTTGACAGAGTGTTTTTAATTTCTACTGATATTGAGAAGCAATACATGGCAATAACCATGTATGTGGCAGCAATTGTTGATGCAACAATATAGATAAAAGAACATATGCAAAGAGCTTCTCGTTCTGCTTCTGCAGATCAGAGCTTCTATTTTAAGCCATGATTCCATGACAATAACACTGCTGGTGTTTGCCTCCAATTAATCTCTGCTCATTATGAAATTAGGAGCTAATTTTGATGCAAATCTTTTCCTCCTCAGGGAAAAGATGTGGCAGAGCTGCAATGGACTGTGGGTTTTACATGAAAAAATATATAAACAAATTACAATATTGCTGACAGCTCCTCTCTGCAATATTCCAGTGCTCTTTTTTGGCTGCATAGATAAAACCGAGCTTTCGGGAGAAGACTGGGACTGATGGGAAAAAAGAGGTCAACCAACCAGAAGGTGGAGGAACTTGGCTGCATTGTTGATGGATGCACCATTGCAAGAAAGGTCAGGCTGGGGACAGATAATCATGGGAAAAAAATACCCATATTGTTGTTAAGAGCCAACACCAACATGAAGACATCATCAATTAATCAGTGACAGACTTGCCTGAAGAACATGGTATCTTCTTGAGTATTACATGGGCTCTGCATTTTTATGCATTAAGAAATGTTTCTGTTCCGCTACTTCACTCTGCTCTGCTGCCCTCTTCTTCTAGTTCCCAGATGAACTAAAAATGTTGCATTGTCATTCCAGAGTTTCCCTATTTTGCCTCTCCTTTTCATTCATCTCTATGTTATTGAAGCACATCTGGGTGCACACCAATAAAATGCATCTGAGATTATAAACAATAATACAATATATCATCAGTCTCCCTTTCCTGGAGAAAGGGAGACTGATGCTTTTGCAAAAACTGCTTTTTCCCCAGTTTCAACAAATTTGTTAGTAAATTTGAAGATGGGAAGTCCTGACAAATAAGAATGATCAAAAAGCATTGTTAATCTGTGCATGTACTGTGTTTTAAAATATTAAACATAAACAAAATACATTAGTTCTATTAGGCTGCAGTAAAATATAAATGTAATGCGACTATAAATCTTTCTTGTGTGTTTATTTTACTGTATGTCACTCAGAGTTGTTGCACAGTTGGGCAGCCTAATGAACTAACTAATTAACATTGATAAACTATGGCTCGATTGTTCTAAAACTATCATGTAGACGTATGGTTTGGCTTAGAATAATGTGTAAACCCCAGCCACCATTGTTTATAGGCAACGATTCTGACTCAACAATGGAGATGAATACAATTTCCTTGTGGATTTTTCAACAGGCAGCACAATTTTGTTCTGCTTTCTCTCTGATTCCCTACGTGATTTTTTTTTTTCCAAACTGTTTGAGGGACAGGAGAAAAGCAGAAATATATGACACTGGGTGGCAGCAACCACCAACATTTCCTCTCTTCCGTCTGTGTCTGGCTGACGAGCCTCACAATATTTTAGCAGGTAGGTTACGATTAGTAGATGTTGTTGCAAAACGTCAGACAAACTCTAAGAGCTCTCTAGCAGCCAGAGATGTTTTTGTAGTCCAGATATGGTACCCCTAACCTATTCCCTTAAAAAGTCAAATCATTGTGAGCTCATCTAAATACTCGTTCTGTCTTGACCAGGAACATAAAATAGAGCATTCAAGGGTACACAAATTACCTACAGCCATGGTTCACTCAATGTGATGTTTACATAGCATGCTGTACACGAGTTATAAATTAGATTATCAGAATACGATGGACTACTCACACAGCATGATGAAACAGTGGCAGATTTGTCCTAGTAACCTGAACCACTAAATAATCTGATTGCAGTCTGATGTAGCATATTGTATAAATATCATGCAGTAATGGATTTCAAAAATTTTTACTACCAGTTCTGTGGGTGTGGCTTTGTGGGCGTGGCTTGGTGGGCATGGCTTGGTGGGCGTGCAGGGGAAGGATACTATAAAATCTCCATTCCCTCCCCAATCCAGGGGAAGGTTACTGCAAAATCCCCATTTCCTCCTGATCAGCTGGGACTTGGGAGACAGAGAATAGATGGGGGCAGGGCCAGTCAGAATTTTTACTACAGGTTCTCCAAACTACTCAAAATTTCCGCTACCGGTTCTCCAGAACTGGTCAGAACCCGCTGAAACCCACCTCTGGTGTCATGGATATATTTTACAGTAAGGATCAAATCTCTGCACCTTCCCCATCATATGTGGCCTACAAAACCCCAAATGACAAGGTGGCAGCAAAGAGAGAGAAAACTCTGTCGTTACTATATTTATTGTTCATCCGAATTGTTTCAGCCCAGACATAATAGCCTTACCGCTTTTTTCTGATATATACTTTATTATTTTTATTAGTTTTTTATCCCAAAATGTTAACATATTTTCGTCAACTCAATGTGGTAAATATGTGCGATATCCCTTCCTCCTCTTATTTTTCCCTCACAACAACAACCTGGGTGAGGCTGAGAGGGAGAATAATTGGCTCATAATCAGCCGGTTTTTATGCCTGAGGCAGGATTAGAACTCACAGTCACCTGGTTTCTAGGCCAGCACTTTTACCACTACACTAACTGGCTCTCACAACTTCACAACTTCCTTGCAATACTACATACATTTAATGTAAAGTTCCTATGGCTATTTCATTCTTGTGAGAAGCTCTTTCTGATTATACTTTTTTTTCACTCCATCAATTTTCTAATAACTTTATTAAATTCCAACATCAAACATTAAAATATAAACTAATATAAAAGGAAAAGGAAATCAAAAAAACAAATTAAAAGTGACAAAAAATTATACACCAAACAAATTTATAATATCTTTCCAGTGCCTTTCTACTCGATTCATGAATCAGCATTTTTAAAAAGATGCTTTTTTTTTTTTTTGGTGAAAACTTTGTATGGTTGTTGGATGAGTATTTCCCTCTGAAGGTTAACACCGGGATTTCTGAATTTCGCCTGGAGGAATCCCTCGAGCTCTACATTGTAATATGCAACTTTCAAACTTATTGAAACCGGTATCTCAGTTTTGCAGAAATCAATGTATTAGTAATGGTGTGAATAGTATGTGAGACTGATTCTCCTGGGATTGTGCTGTTATTTAGTGTATTTAGTGGCCACTAAAGCATTTGGAGAAGACCTGCCACGAGAAAGACCAGTCCTGATTCATTTTGGTCACAGAAAAGACAGAAATACCATCTCTCTCTATATATCACAGTAGGGAGATAATAATTGCTCAGGGTGAGGAGTTTTATACCTCCTGGCTTGCAGATATGACTTGTGGATCCTCCTATGCAGGTCTACAAACTCCTTCTTCAGTCTCTGAGGTGACAGAAAACCTTGCCAATCTATTTTGCACAAGGTTGTGTCATGAATATAAGAAATTATGAAAGGGAGGGAGGGAGGGAGGGAGGGAGGGAAGGAAGGAAGGAAGGAAGGAAGGAAGGAAGGAAGGAAGGAAGGAAGGAAACCCTATGAGAAAATAGAAACTGCCTAAATTTGAGAATCTCTATAAATTATAATCCAGACTTTCCTATCAGCTGGACCTTTTATCTTCTCCTGTAGCCTGGATGCTTATTAGGGAGCATGAAGGAAGGTCCTGCTCTTGATAACATGTGGGTGAAAAAATAATGTTGGAATCGAATGTGGAAAGCTGCTGTTTCCTAAATTGGGAGAGGGGGAAAGGGGAGGGCAGGCAACTTAATTCTCTGGGCCTAACTACATCTGTTTTCACCCCTACAACTGATAGGGAAGCAGTGGCACGCATGGACCGATCACCCTTGTTGCATCCAATTGCTTACCCTCGTGCCCTTGATCGTGCATCCTAGCAGTGTCAGAAAGAATCATAGTTAACTGAGGAAGATGAAGCCCAGAAACACAAGTAACATAAGCAAAGCAGAGCTCAGAAGACCCCAATGCCTAATCATCCAAACAATCCCTCAGAAAGACGAATGTGGAGCATCCCATCTGAGTTGGTGGGGTCACTTCCAAGCCTTCATTGTTTGGAAGGTGCTGCAATTTTTAATTCTGATGGCAAAATACAGAGTCAGAGGCTACTGAGCACATGCTGGTTTTTCAAAAAGGACAGGCTGTAGCAAATATTTGCTACAGAATGTACAAGAATTGTACATCTCCCGCACGCAATTGCTTCCTCCAGCCCTGTTGCATCACAGTAATTTGGACACTCTAATAAGTAGCTTACTGTTAATCCCAAGGAGTTACTTGCTAAAAGTGAAAAGACAGGAGTGCAATACGTGATTAGAAGCTGAGCCTTTTTTTTCCCCCTCTCCTCGCTTTCTTTCCTTGTGACTGTCACTCTGCAGACTTACAGGCAGAAAGGGCCAAATGAATCTAACAGAGTCATTCTGTTCCTGAAGCAAATCTCCCTAAAGAATTTTTGAACATCATGGATTTGTCCTGGAGCAATTCATGAAGAAATCCCCAGAATCTGTTTTACAGCACATCAACTTAATAAATAAATGACATTTATTAATTATAAAATGAAGTGAGAGATCTTCCATCTTCATTATTCACATAAGAAAACTGTGACAAATCAGTCCTGGGTTTGTTTGTTTGTTTCTTTTCTTTTCTTTTGGATTATGGAAAAGTTCCACTGAATCCCATTGGTCACCATTTTTATTCTTGTTCCCAAAATGATTTTGAATGTTTTTGCTAAATTCAATGAAACATCATATATGGAATTAACAACCCTTAGAAATTTGCCAGTGTTTCAGTTTTACATTTTCCATAAGGCAATAAAACTGCCTAGTCTTTCCCAGTCAAATATTCTCCCAAAGTTGCGACACAATTCCCAAATTACTAGTCAGCTTGCCAATAGGCCGGAAGAGCATACTGAGTGTCGTCCCACATAATGAGAACCCTAATTTGGACATGATTGCCGTAATGTAGCACATGATTGTAAAATTGTCTACTTACACTGAAATCCCACAACGTGGCAAAGTTCATAGCACTTGCTTCCTCTGCTCTTGGCACAGTTTTTCTAGGCAAAGACCCATATGCCTTTCCCATCAATGCCTGCATGCAAAAACAGGGAGAATGGTTTCCAGTGTATTCACATCAATAATCCAAGAGCAATTGAGGTTAATTTTTTATTGTTCCAATATGTTGGAAATTGAACATTACATGTTGGAAATCAGTGATGGATTTCAAAAAATTTTACTACCAGTTCTGTGGGTGTGGCTTGGTGGGCGTGGCTTGGTGGGCATGGCTTGGTGGGCGTGGCAGGGGAAGGATACTATAAAATCTCCATTCCCTCCCCAATCCAGGGGAAGGTTACTGCAAAATCCCCATTTCCTCCCGATCAGCTGGGACTTGGGAGGCAGAGAATAGATGAGGGCGGGGCCAGTCAGAATATTTACTACAGGTTCTCTGAACTACTCAAAATTTCTGCTACCGGTTCGCCAGAACTGGTCAGAACTTGCTGAAACCCATCTCTGTTGGAAATGTAATATGAAATTCAACATGCAAAATCATTCACCTATAGTAGTGATGGCAAACTTTTTTGGCTCCAAGTGTCCAAACCGGAACACGTGCATACGTGCGCCAGAGCACCAGAAACCCAAAGACCAGGTGGCCGGTGCGCATTCACATCAGAAACCAGAAGAGCAGTTGGTGACAGCAAGTGTGCCCACAGAGAGGGCTCCGCGTGCCACCTCTGGCACACGTGCCATAGGTTCGCCATCACAGACTTATAACATCAATATGATCTCAAATATTCATGAACCTTAGAACTGTTGGTTTTGTATTGGGGGAAGGAAAAGATTGCTATCATCACCTTTTTTTTTTTTTTACCAAGGAGTTTTAGGAGACAGGAGATCTGAGCCTTAAAGGATCACAGGTCTACCAAGAACTCAAGTCTTGATCATCTCACTGTTGGATTATTGGAATACACTCTACATGGGACTACCCTTTACAAGTATTAGGAAGATGCAGTTGATGCAGAACACAAGATAGTTCTTGGGGCCACTAGGGTGTCCCATAATACACCACGGTTAAGCAAACTGCACTAGTTGCCAGTTTGCTTCCAGGTCCAATTTAAGGTGTTGATTCTTGTCTTGAAAGCCCTTCATGGCATAAGTCCAGGTTTCTGAGAAACCATCTCACCCCAATCAGATTGGCCCATTCCCCCCCCCCAATATGCTGCAGACCCTGTCAATCAAGGAATTCTGGTTGGTGGGATCCAGGAGAAGAGCCTTTTCTACCATGGCTCCTGCCCTTTGGAATCATGTCCCCCCATCCCAGGCTAGATCTGCACCTACCCTTTTTGGCCTTCCAAAAGGGCTTGAAGTTTCTGCCAACTGCCCTGGGCCCCCAAGGGGGGGGGGGTGTCATCTTGGAGGTGGTTAATTGGCTAAAATAAGATCTCACCTCTTCCCTGTGTGCAACTTGTTCCCTTCCTCCATATCTTTGTCAATTTTAAACCAAACTCAGTGTTACTATTTATTGTTTTAATGTTTCACCTTGGTGTTTTATTAATAATAAACTGCCTAGAGGTGGGTGGCATATAGGGTCAATAAATACATAAATAATACATAAATAAATTGAAGTTGTTAAAGCATGGCCTACAAAAAACACACATAGATTTCTCCATAGATTTCTGATATACATCTCCTAACCTTACCCTCTTTCCCTGAAAATAAGACCTCCCTGGATAATAAGCCCAATCGGGCTTTTGAGCACATGGACTAAAATAAGCCCTCCCTGAAAATAAGCCCTCCCCAAAAATGTTTAAACGCATGCACAGCTGGTCCCCGCCATTTCCTCTGGTTAGGGAGACAGAGCTGGAAATCAGGTAAAATGTCAAGAGGAGCCCCATCTTGCTCCACGCACCCAAAATAATAAGACCTCCCCGAAAATAAGGCCAAGCGCTTATTTCGGGGTTCAAAAAAATATAAGACAGGGTCTTATATTTCGGAAAAACACAGGTAGTTAACTAGGAATTGTTTTAGCACTGTTATATGTGCAAAAAGAAAAAAAAGGAGAGAACTTCTCATTTTATACCTGGTGTGCTCTCTAAATGTGACATCAGTCTCAGTCAACTTAGCCAAAGACCAGGGATTTATAGAAATTGTAGGTCAAAGTTTTCTAGATGACTATAAGGTCCACATGTTGATTTTTCTTGGCATTTTGTCTGGCTTAATTGCAAGATCCACTTGCACTGTATTTACCCAATTCTCACAGTGAGGCATTATCCATACATGACGTGATGAGAGGCTTTGTTTTCCAGCCAGTTTATTGTATAACAGATGCTGATTTGGGCTAAGAGGGAATGACTGGGCTCAAGGTCACCAAAAAAGGTCCATGCCTAAGGGAGAATAAGAGTTTGGGTTTTCCTCTCCTGGTCCAGCTCTTTATCTACTGCGCCTCACTGGTTCATAGGCGCCTCACTGTTAAAACTGCTGTAAAAATCCTTACTGTGCTAAAATTAAACAAAAACAGCAGAGAGTCTTTAACATAACTTAAATCAGAAAACCAGGTGCACATGGAAATGAAATTGTGCTCTCACCTCAGGCACCATGACAAGACCAAAGGTCAGCCCAAACAGAACTATATTTATTCCATACATCCATCGCAAAAATATGAAGTAAGATGCAACTGAGGAGCCAAAATGACCTGTGAAATATTCAGATAAAGGCAGATAAAATGACAAACTTCCCTTGTCATTTAAAAGAGAAAAACCTGATAAAATGTTTAAATAGATTTAACAAATTAGTATATCAGCAAATAACATTTTTCCACAAACATAACTATTTGATATGTCAAAACCCACAGAAGGGTACAAAGATAGGCTTATATGATAAAAATTGGGCTGAATTTGGAAAAAAATAGTTTTCAGCATCCTGTATAGGAAGGCATATTTTTAAATCAAACTGTGGAATTTTAAACAACAGAATGTAAACTTTAGAACTAAAACTAACAGGTTAGGCAACTAAGATTAACAAGGTAAGAATAAAATTATGAATCTACAAGCGCACAAAACGATTCATCTATGGCTATAGTAATGAAATGACAAATTTACTGTCCCTGTATTTATGTTTAATGGAGTTTTCACATACACCTCATCCTTTTCTTTAAACTTTTAAGCCTTGTTCCTTTCCTTAATTCTATAAAATCCCAGAGTCTAGCTCTTTGAGAAGGAACCTGCACGAAATTATTTCAAAAGGATAATTTCTGTACAAGAATAAGGCCAAAATGTCATAGCTTGCATTAGCTTTGGTGCAATTTGTTCTTCTTGAGGGGTTGATTTGATATATTTGATATATTTGGTATATGGTTAAGGCACCAATCTAGAAACCAGGAGACTGTGAGTTCTAGTTCCATTTTAGAGACAAAGCCAGCTGGGTGGCCTTGGACCAGCCACTCTCTCTCAGTCCTAGAAAGCAGGCAATAGCAAACCATTTTTGAAATCCTATCAAGAAAACTGCTGGGACTTATCCATATTTTTATGAGTACAGACAATTAGCCCAAGCAATAGTTGATTTTTATAGGACATCTCCTTAAATACTGATGGAAGAGAATATACTTTCAGGAAAACTTAATTTTTCTTTCATCATGCATGATGCCCAGCAATATGCCACTTATTTGTACCAAATGGGTGAGGAGAGGAAGGGCATCAGTCACTTACTTTCAATTTCTTTTATTTTCATTTCCCATGGTATGCAGGCGGTTTTAAAATTATCAAAATCACGCTGAAATTTCATCCATTTCTGAAAGAAAGATCACATAGTACTGTAGCCCATTTGGATAACAATGGAAAGCAAAAGAAATGAGAGGAGCAATGATAAGTATACGCCTCTCTTCCTATCTCTATAATGCATACACAATCCATTTGTCGGAATAGCTTTGGCAACGATGTCTCTAATATCTCTGCACATTTCTGTTTCTTTCAGAATGAAACATGGATGCCTCACCAAAGCAAGCTGCCATATTAATTAGAAATATTATACAAATAGTTTTGACCTCTCTGTGTACAGAAAGTCCTCGACTTATGACCACAATTGAGCCCATAATTTCTATTGTTAAGCGAGACATTTGTTAAGTGAGTTTTGCCCCATTTTACGAACTTTCTTGCCACAGTTGTGAAGTGAATCACTGCAGTTGATAAATTAATAACCCAGTTGTTAAGTGAATCTGGCTTCCCCATTGACTTTGGGTGTGAGAAGGTCACAAAAGTTGATCACATGACCTAGGGACACAGCAATAGTCACAAACCAGCTGCCAAGCATCTGAATTTTGATCACATGATCATGGGAATGCTGCAAAGGTCGTGCCTGTGAAAAACGGTTATAAGTCACATTTTTCAGTACCGTTGTAACTTTGAACAGTCTCTAAATGAACAATTGTAAATTGAGGACTACTTACTATCTAAAAGTTCTATTTCTAACTATTATGAAAGACATCTAAAGCAGAAAGTTTCTGGGCCCTTTCAGTACCAATACCAATACAGCTTTGCTCTCTATTCCAGGGATCTCCAACCTTGGCAACTTTAAGCCTGGAGGACTTCAAGTCCCAGAATTCCCCAGCCAAGCAAAGCTGGCTGGGGAATTCTGGGAGTTGAAATCCTCCAGGCTTAAAGTTGCCAAGGCTGGAGACCCCTGCCCTATGCCATTCGTCTGGTAAACTTGCAAGATTTGTTTCTCTCGCCATGCACATGTATACATCCGAACTAGACTGTGTTGTTTTCTCTGGGTCATATAATTTATGTAGGTATATGCATAATTTTGTATTTATTTATTTTGTCATGTTTATGTTTATATTAGAGGTGGAGACTCTTTGAGAGCTGTATGCAACGTAATTTCATTTTAATGTATGCCGATTAGTGTACATTCAAAGTGACAATAAAGTATCCTAATAATAATACCTTTCATCACCTGAAGCCAGGTAGAGCTGTGCCTCTATCAAAACATTTGAACTGGCCTATGAAGCTTAATCCACTTTATTCTGTAAAGATTTCTTTTCTTATTCCTAGCTAATTTACTCTGGATGAATGTACTTAAAACTGCAGTTCTAAATACATATTGAAGTACCTAATGTTAGTGATCTTCATAAATACTTTGCACACTTCTTCATTGGACTGTTTGCAGTGTGATTTTACTCAAACATCATCAGAATTTAATATGCTAATATTTAAGCCCTACCATCTGCAAGAAGCACTTGCTGATCTATTTTATTTTATTTTACTTTATTTTATTTACTTTATTAAAAATACCTTCTTATTTTTATTTTACTTTATTCCTTCTTTTTCATCAATATTATAGATTGAGAACACCTATGTCTTCAAAGTTGAATGGTGGATGGTGTTTTGCAGTATTTGCTCTTTTAAAACAAAAAACAAAAAAAAGGCTAAATGCAATCTACGTGAAAATGGAGCTATTTAGTCTAGAAGAGGCGTCTAGGGAGATGGGAGTAATAAGCTATTTCCATTGAGCTACTTCACAGAATTTGAATAAGGAGAAATTAGGCTTACTTTCATCATCATCACTTTATATGCGTAAAACTTCTTTCCTTTGCCTTTCCCGAGAGCCCCTTCAAATTTTTCCACAAAACGCTGGGCATCTCTAAACAAGTTTTAAAAGAAACAGATACATTGATATATCAGAAATAAAAACATGGTTCTATTTGTTAAAATGCTGAAACCAGTAGAAATCAAGGCAAGCTACTGTATATAAAGAAGGAGCAAACCCCACACTCACTCGCATTGATGAAGTTACCTGGTTGGGTAATGAGATGTCTGCAAGCAAATAAGCAAGCTCAGAGAGCACCAAGGATTCCATAGTTAAACCTGCCTTACACAGAGTTCCTGACAGGCATGTTATGACTTACAGCTGTAGCCATATAAAGCTCCCTGAGTACCTTGTAACATTTGAAATTGAAGTTCTGTGAACAACCCATCGAACCAAAATGTTAAATAATGCCAAGTATCACTTCAGCCACTTGCAAAAGCATTTAAGAAAAGGGGAAAAAAAGAACCAGGCAACCTTAGACAGAAATGAGGTAGTGTCAAAAACACAGGAAATATGGACGTGGGTTTTCCATAAACAAGCATTCAGGGTAAATTCTATATAACCCATGATGGAGTAAAATGTACACTCTGAGTTAGCTTATGAAAGCTTTATTAAATTAAAGGAACTTTAATCTAATTACTAACACACACTACATCAAAGTTTCATTAGCCCATGCATAATTGTCCTTAAATGGCTTGGCTTAATAATTAATTGCAAGTGTAGGGTTACAACTCATCAAGCATGTGGTGTCCGGTACTGAGGCTGTTTCAATGTTGCCACAGTGAGACTGAATTACTGAACTTAAGAGGTCACTGCTGAAGATTTGAATAGGTGGGCCAACTTTTCATGAACAGGTCAAGAGGAAGGGCCTGGTGGCTCAGCAGACTAAAAGCATTGTGATTAACACCAGCTGTCTGCAATTACCGTAAGTTCGAATCTCACCAGGCTCAAGGTTGACTCAGCCTTCCATCCTTTCTAAGGTAGGTAAAATGAGGACCCAGTTTGTGGGGGCAATAAACTGACTTTGTATAAATATACAAAAGTATGAAGGCTATTGCTTAACGCATTGTAAGCCTCCCTGAGTCTCTGGAGAAGGGCGGCATATAAATCAAATTAAAAAAAAAAAAAAGAGGGATTCAGGCATCAGCTGAAATCCCACAAGTGAGAAGTGTCCTATTGATATTGATCAATTGTAACTTTTCAGGTCATCTTTTTACAAATATTGGATTTTCACAATGCCAATCCTCAGTTGTAGCACCCTGAAGAGTATGATTGGAACATAATTTAAGGTAGATATAAGTTCACCTTTTCAGCAGCCTGGTTGGGTCTTAGCAAATGGTAGCAATTCCCTCTATGTGTTTAGATTTGGATACTAAGCAGAGTCAGGCCTGGTTAATGTTGGGTTGGGAGGCCTCCAAGGAATAGCAGAGCTGTCTAGACTGTTGTCAAGAAAAACCGCATGCCCATGGAGTCACAAGGAGCCTTGGTTCAAAAGAGTGTCTACATCTTATATTTTACCATTTCTATCGCCCCAGTGTGTAATGAATTTTTAAAAAACCAACATGGATCTATGGGAGGAAGAATTTAAAAGCAATTGGAATTCACAGCTCAGACTCTAGGTTAATTATTACATAACTCAAGACCTTACTTCAAGATTTTCAGTTTCTTTTTCATATTCCAAGACTTGTTTCGCAAAGTGGAAATCAGCTTCTTCTTTTCTTCCACAGCTTCTTTCAACTTGTCCAGTTCCTCCTCTGTCATTTCCTCTTCAGAAGTAGAATCTGAGCTTTGGGGGACAGGGAAAGAGAGTCACCAACCATAAGGGTATAAAAAGGATGAGATCTTTCCTGAACATTTATGAGGTCTAGAAGTAGCTATATATTGCTTAACATTACTAGCTTTCTATGTTACGTGGTAAATGAACTCCCATTGGCCAAATGGGTAAATTCTGAGTCAGCAGATGTCCAAGTTTTGAATATTGATAACGAACAATGATAATGAAACTAACCTCAAGGTTGGGGAGAATAAAATGTATTAATTTATCACATATTGCTTTTCTTAAAAATACATTGCACTTGCAATATTTGCAACTTCCCTTGCAACAAAACAGAAACCGAGCAATCTTGAAGAAATTGAAGCAACATCCTGAAAAATTAATGAGAAAGCCAATTTTCCAATACCTGCTAAAATTCAATTTGGCTGAATTTTAATAGATGTGCCTCTGTCAGTTCTTATCTACGAGCAATGTTGCTTATCTGAGGGATACCAGGAAAAAGGGGACTTCATGACAGCAAATGCATCATTTTCTTTCTCCTATTTTATGCTAAACTTGGACAGCCTTCATGGCTGGAAATTTGAGAAACTGAAGTCTCAGACATATAGAGGGATTTTGATTGGGAAAAGCAGCCTTAACATTTCAAAGTCACATTAAGGGAAAAAGATGTTCTACTAAAATGTATTTCCAACATACACAAATGTAAAAAGACAGATGAGCTACTAAAATTAAGAACAAATAGAGACACTACTAATAAGAACTGCATCCAATATCAATACTGTCATGAAAAGTCTATGTCTTTCCTCATATAGTTGAACTGTAGCTCCCAGCACCCCTTACCACTAAAATGCTAGTTGCAAGCTCTGGAAGTTGCAGTTCATCCACATCTGGATGGCACATATTCCCTACCTTCCATGAATGCATCAATAGTCTATGAGTCTACCTGATTGCAACTAGGGCCTAAAAAACTGAAGCTGGAATGCAGACGTCCAAGACATATAGACAGGGGTGAAATCCAGCAGGTTCTAGAGAACTGATAGCGGAAATTTTGAGCAGTTTGGAGAACTGGTATTGGAAATTTTGAATAGTTTGGAGAACTGGCAAATACCACCTCTGGCTGGCCCCAGAGTGGTGTGGGAATGGAGATTTTGCAGTATCCTTCCCCTGGAATGGGATGGGAATGGAGATTTTGCAGTATCCTTCCCCTGGAGTGGGGTGGGAATGGAGATTTTGCAATATCCTTCCCCTGCCACGCCCACCAAGCCACACCACGCCCGCCAAACCATGCCCACAGAACCGGTAGTAACAAAATTTGGATTTCACCACTGCATACAGAGAAAAATTGTATCCTTCTTCTCACAAAGAGAAACAGAGTAAAATCTTGATAATGAACAACTTTATGCAATTACCATTCTTCCTTACCACTTTAAGCCTGTTAAGCGACACCAAACAAGCAGGAACCAGGAACCACAAACCAATAAACAAGTAAAGGTTAGTACAATAAGCTACCATATACTGTATAAACTGCCAGCAAATTTAAGTGTACCATCTATTCATGATGTTCTTAGCTTGGTAATAAAACATCTGCAGAACATCAACAATTCAGTATTGATCTACACATATTCTCCATGGATATTAGGATCCATGTGATCCTAAATGGCAATAGGAGAGGACAAAACTTTATATGAGAAAGGAGAACCCAGAAAAAACCAGAAGCAGAAACAAGCGTAGAAGTGAGACTGCTAGTACGGGCAAAATACTATACAGTAAGAGTTATGTATTTGTCACCCTCAGTAAACAAAGTGATTGCTTAACTACAAGTCTCAGATTGTTTTATAAAGAACAAATACCGGTTAATCTGTTGACTCAGATAATAATAATGCCACCAAGCACTATGAATAAGAAAACAGTACCTTGATTCTTTTTTCTTCTTATCTTGGTTTTTCTTTTTCTTTTTCTCCTTCTTCTTCTCCTTGCTTCTTTTGTCCTCATTCTCTTCATCGTCACCATCATCCCTGGACTCATCCCTAATCTTCTGATTTTCTCTGTTCTTCCTGGTCTTGTGGGCTTCCCCCTCGGATTCACTGCTTTCATTTCCATCTTTCCTCCGACGTCTCCTATATCTTCTCCTGCGTTCTGCAGCCGTCTCTTCTTCATCATCATCCTCTTCCTCGGTTTCATTTTTCTTTCTTTTTGATGCTCTTTTCTTTTGCTCAGACTGTTCTTCTTCATAGAAAGAGAGAAACACTCAGCTTAGTCAGCACAAAAGGAACCTGGTCTCCCTTCTGTCCTTCATCCCAGATATAATTATTATTTTCACAGTACAATCTCATTCCGTGAATGCATTGTTTGGTAGACATTCGTAATACAATGGTTGAAATTTCAAGGGTGATCATTTTCTGACAACTCAGCTTTATTGTCACATATTTTAAACTATAGCATTTCAGTCTGAAATTAGATACTATTGCCAAAATAGCAAATTCTTCATAATTGTATTAGACCGACTAAACTAATATTTTTCTCTAGAAGGATTTATTCAGTGCTCAACTGCATCAAACAGTGCAAAACACTGGTGACATAAGGAATATCTAAAGTATGACTCTGATGACTTTGTTCCCAAACTAAGCAATACATTCTGTATTTACTCAAAACATGGTCAGTACTATAAATGCTGAAAGCGCCTATAATGTTTAGAAATGATTTTCTTCGTTCTCTGCCTTCTTCCCACAATACAGTGACTCACAAGCTACCCAACTGCATTTTAGCTAGGGAGCTGTGAGAACCCAACCCATGTTTATGCTCAATACATCTTGCAAATCCAAAAAATTAAAGTAAAATTAAGTAGCAGATACAGCAGCAGAAATCACAGTGTAAACCAGTTTTAGCTATCTTCCAACATGCTTATAAACTTAAATACTATTTCAGCCTTGTCCAACCAAGAAGCTATCCAAATATGTTGCACTACAAATCCTAATATTCCCCAGCCAGGACTACTGGAATTGATGACACCTTTAGCATCAATACATATTGGAGGTTCAAAGAAGGTTGTGTCTAGAGCTGAAGTTGTTCTCCACGACATAAGTTTTAGAGTAGTTACCTTCTTCACTTTCAGTAGCATTGTCTTCTTCATTGTGCCCTTCAATATCCACTGTGGAGAAAAAACAGAAATCGTACACTGAGAAAACTGGGTGATCGGTGACATCTTTTTGAAAGAAGAGGATAAATTTCACACATATTAATTGTTATGTACACCTATGAGTTTAGAAGTGGTTTAACTGTGAGCAGAAGATGGAATCAGTAAAATAGGACATGTTCACTTTTACTGGGAATGCCCCATCCATTCCATGGAACAGAGATCAATAAAAGTGGTGAAGAACTGAAACAAGACACTTCAACTGAAGTCCCACTGAGGAAGTCACATAGCCTGGTGATGAAATGTTCAGAAGCTAAACAGCAAGCTCAGAGAACAAACCAACAACAACAGATTCAGTACAAGTTTCCCAATCAATCATAAAAGGCTCTCCTCTCTTTTTTGACCCAAAAGTCATAGCCAACCCATAGGTCAGGGACTACAGCTATTCCATGGGGCTGGGTCAGAGCTAGAGTAAAGTAGGAAAGATACCCTGTTTCACTGGGTGACCTGAATTCTTCCCCATAATGATTGTGGTTTAGCCTAGAGCAGAAGTATCCAAACTTGGCAACTTTAAGACTCGTGGACTTCAACTCCCAGAATCCCCCAGCCTACATAGCAGGCTGGCAAATTCTGGCTGCTGAAGTCCATAGGTCTTAGAGTTGTCAAGGTTGATCACACTGGTCTAGAGGGAAGGACTGCCCAGTGAAGTGGGCTCCTCTCTTATTACCCTCATCACTTTGCTAAGTAGTGATGACAGAAGTGGGGAGAAAAGGCTCTTTGCCCATTAGGTCTCTGATTCATGAATCAGCTGGGGGTTGGAAAGTAATTGATGCAGTGAAAAGCCCAATGTAAAGAATTGAACCTTCCGGAGTCAAGAGCAAAATAATACTGGGAAACAGTACCCAGGAACCAGCGGGGAGGCCCCCTACCTCCAGCAATCTAAAGCAGCCAATAGGAGCTGGGGCCCTGATGATGTCGTGAGCACATTACTGTCAAAGTGTTGTAGATCAGGTGTACCACAAAGCTTTTGCCAGAAGACGAGGGAAAGCATTCTTTGTGACTAAAGCTTTGCGGTCTACCTGATTGAGTTAAAGTTGTGTTTTCCCTCTCTTTTAAGGAAGAGCGTGGAAGAGCATGGAAGATCAATGCTGGAGGGGTGAGGTCAAAAGTGTTAAGAATTGAACTTTAGGTTGGTTTGTATGGATTTTTAGAAATTTTGTTTTTGAGCTGATTTTTAAAATTTTCCTTCCTGTCATAAAAAAGAAGTGGGAATGGTTCACACCAAGGATGTTACATGCTGTATTTTGTCTAATTGATCTGGAGAACTAATGTCAAGGTGTATTCAGTGGGGAGACTGAGCAAATAACAACTTCTATGAAAAAGCTTAACAAAGAGAGTATAGACCAAAAGCCCTACTGAGGTCCAAAGGAATTTGCAAGCCCTGAAGGTGTGGCTTTTTTTTGCAAAGAAGTTTACTAATAAGCTAATAATCAAGGCAGAATTGGATCAGGTCTTTTCCACAACCAATGAGGAAAGAGTGAACTCCAAGACGGATAGAATGTTTCCTGCTAATAGATAGATAACAAAGGAATATTTGGTTGAGGAGAGGGAATGATCCTCATGCCAATTCCAAGGCTAACAAAAAAACTTCCCACAGGAGATACAGAAGGAAGCAGCTTGAGAAGGTCTCCGATAGGTTCAAAATGTCCAAGAAATGCTGAAGTCACACCAAGAAGAAACAGAATTTCCTGCACCAATGACTCAGGAAGAAAGAAGGTTCAATACAAAAAGCCCATGGGTCCAAGGTCAATGGAGAAAGAGAGGAAGGATTGCAGGAAGACGTTTGAGGGATCAGTGAAAACTGTAAGGCTCAGAGAATGAAAGGGGAAAAAGCAGAAGGATTCCCAGGTGCCAGTTCTGCCCTTAGGGAAACTCCTGACCACAATAAGATTCCCCTGTTGCAAAGGAGAAAGAGATTGAATCTTTCTTTGTGATTTTGAGTGGGTGGCGATGGTATACCCAGCTACTGAGTAGCCCATTGGACTCTCAGTCTGAATGGAAAAGCCATAAGAGATTAAATTTAAATTGGATCAAAAAAAAAAAAAACAAGTGCCGAGGGAAAGGGGTACACCTTCTCTTCCTCAAAGGTGCAATCCATACCCAATTCCAGCAGCAACCCATGGCTGCAGTTAAAAATAACAGTGGAGCCCAACCATTCCATGTGGCATTGACTTTGGCACTCAGATTGTTTTAGTTGCACATGTGCAGATTCATCTTTTTCTAATAAAATTTAAGGTGTCTACATTCTTCCAATCATACTATGTTCCATTGCTTTCCCTTTTCTCATCATCTGAAAGAAACCTAGCCCACCTGAAAAATGCAACGGCACGCATTTTCGTTAGTTAAAACAAAGATTTGATTTAACAGCATCCTTCCTGCTTTGTTAAACCAAGAGTGGAAGGAATGATACAAATCATGCCGCTGTAAAAAACAGAGCCACATTTTTTAAATTTGACAGTTGAATAAGAGAGGGGGAAGGAGGGAGGGAGGGAGGGAGAGATGCATACATATATTGTGTGCATACAAAGCAGAACTTTTTTCTAGAAAGTCAGTAATATATTGGCCGTTTGGGAGGGAGGATGGGTGGAATTTGGCTATATGCTTTCTGTTGGAAGCAGTCATTCGTCTTCCTTTTAGACAATTAAAGTCTTTGCAGTGTTTCGCAACCTTGGCAACTTTATGATGTGTGGACTTCAACTCCCAGGTTTCCCCAGGCAGCATGCTGCTTTAGAGGGATGAGGACAAACACCTTTCAAAAAAAAATTTTTTTTCTGCTGGAATAGGGCATTATCTGTTATTAACAATAATGCCTTCGCTGGTTGTTCCAGGACAATTCTCTTGGAAGTACTGTATTCTAAAACTAATGGAATGGCTGCACAATGGATTTGAATGAATTCAAGCTTGAGGTTTATGATATGTATTGCAACATACACTAAAGCAGTGGGTTCACCTACATATACCTCTCCGTGCGGAGTCCTTGATGCTCTGAGCTTGGTTGTTTGCTTGCAGACATTGCATTACCCATCTAGTTAATATTATCAATGCAAATTTGTTCTCTATTTATATATAGTAGCTTGCCTTGCCAGTTTTGGAGGGAGGTGGATTTTTTTCCTTGACAGTTCTTTGATTAGAATATCATTCATCATTTATCATTCCTACCATTTAAAAAAAGATACTTCCAAACCTCTCCTTCCTCTATCATATAAAAAACTAATCAAAGAGCAACTGACAGAGAGACTTATTTTTTTAATGGTTCAAGAAAACAGTTGTAGGCTAAAATGATCTCATAAACCACCACCGCAGTTGTGATGGACAGTTATGAGTAGAAATTACTGACATTTCTCTCCTCCCAAAGGTGAAGGGGAGAAGGAAAGAAAAGGACTTGTGAACTTCAACTCCCAGAATTCCCCAGCCACCATGGGTGTCTCAGCATGGCTGGCTGAGGAATTCTGGGAGTTAAACTTCACAAGTCTTAAAATTGCCAAGTTTGGAGACGCCCTGCTCTAGCCCATTCTTGTCAAATGTACTAATTAAGGATGCTCAAAGTTCTGAAGAAGAAACTGGATCAGTAGATGTTCCCAAATCTTGTACAAAACAAACTGGTATGAATGTTTGCAAGGGAAAGTTAATATCTATCAATGGACTGAGGGGAGTGGTTTTGGTTAGGAGACACAATATCAGTATCTTTGGGGAAAGGCTAATTGCCACTGCTATTTGTATTACTTCTGCTACTAAATTTATTAAGGGTTTTAGATATAGGGCAGAGCACTTTGGGGACAATTTGCCAAAATCCAGCTGAAACATGGAGCTAATTCTGAGCCAGCTGTCAAGGAAACAAGGCAAAAGCTAAGGCAGATGAAATTCTGTTGCAAGGACAAGATTACAGTCTATCTTCCTCTTTGAACTTTGTAAGTAAGACATATAGGAAATTCCGTTGAACCCAGTAAGTATGCAGTCATTATAAGCATGCTTGGTGTTACAGTCAGTTAGTCTCAGATATTTCACAGTTGCAATAAACATTCTGAATTTCAGTTAATGAAGACAAGCCCAGTGTGTTGTTTACCAAAAAAATGAAAGTGAAAAATTAGAGAGAAGAATAGAAATTCATCTGAGGAATGTGAATGTTATTCTAGACTTTTTAATTAAATTGAGTTTTGGCACAAGTTTTAAAGTTTTTCTGATCCTAAAAATCACTGACATTTGTATAAAATGAGCCCATGTTTCAGAAAGAAGAGAATCTAGTACTGAAACAAGAAAATTCAGAACCACACTTCCCCACAATTTATTTTTTGAATTAGCTACATAACATTTACATGACAAAGTATATGTTTTCCTTCAAAGAAATAATTATCATCTAATGTAGTATGAACCAATGTTAATTTGAATTATCTTTTTTGTTATTTTATTGCTTTGTATTTTTGAAAAAAAATATAAGAGGTGGATAACACAATTGAAAGAATTAAGTACAAGTGATGAAATATGACTGGATAAACAACAAATCTAAAAAAGCACAAAAAAAAGTAAAACATTTCATATCCATTTTCTTTTGAATGTTCAGCTTAAAATGCTTGGTTAACACAGTTGAAATCCTTAAAAGAAACTATAGGTTTTACAGAATACATTAAATCAGTTCAATAAATTCTACACAATTCTGCACAATTCTCTATATAAAATTATAATCCAAGAATGGTTCCCAATGAGAATTAAATTCTATGATGTGTCTATTTATTTTTTAAATACAGTTATTCTAAACATTGAAGAAAGTCCCACAATTTAGTTATCTAGACTACCAAAGGGGAAATCAAAGAACTTTTCCAATAAAAGATATATAAAACCCTACAGCCATTAACATATACAGTTTAATTTGGTGTATTTTGAAGGGATATACAGTTTAGTGAAATTTAGTCAAGATATTTTAGGTTGCAAAAATTTTCCAAATTTGCTCCATTCTACAT